TTGTTATGACTACTTGTCCATGAGAACTCCTTCTTCTGGTACCGCAGGTGGCTGATGTTATGGTTTCCTCCCAGACTCGCTGGCGTTCAGGTCTTAATCTGTGGGTGAAAGTTCTCAATGACCCAGCTTTGACCTCGCTGCGTCCAACACCACCATTGTGCCAGAAAACCCATATTTCCTCACGTTACAGCACTATGCTTGTTTAGCATGGAGGGGTGTTAAAATACCTTCAGGATACCCAAGAACAAAACCTAATTTACTTACAGATCTATCAAGAGTCATGTCGTTATTGAGGTTTCTGTCACTAACAATTTCCCACAGCAAAACGATCTGGGGCCTCATTTATCAAGCTTGCTTACGCACAAAACGGGGTCGGAAAACTGCGTAAGCAACTTTCCACACAATCTTTGGGATTTGTATTAAAAAAACTTAGCGGAAAAATTAGCGCAACTTTAAGTTGAATAAGCACCTGGCTTACGCACATGTTGGACATGGAGAGCACCTGCAGTGCTGCTGCTGAGAAGATACAACTATGAAATCCTGCAGCATTATAACTTGTACCGCTTCGTTTTCACACAGAACAACACAGCTTCTGCTTCGGCTTCAGCAGGATTTGATTCCCTGCCATTTTAGTGTGTTACTGATGGTGATCTTTGTTACTGTGGTCCCAGCGCTCTGCAGGTCATTCATCAGGTCCCCCCGTGTGGTTCTGGGATTCTTGCTCACTGTTCTCATGATCATTTTGACCCCACGGGATGAGATCTTGTGTGGAGCCCCAGATCGAGGGAGATTATCAGTGGTCTTGAATGTCTTCCATTTTCTGATAATTGCTCCCCCAGTTGATTTTTTCACACCAAGCTGCTTGCCTATTGTAGATTCACTCTTCCCAGTCTGGTGCAGGTCTACAATTCTTTTCCTGGTGTCCTTCGAAAGCTCTTTGGTCTTGGCCATAGTGGAGTTTGGAGTCTGACTGTTTGAGGCTGTGGACAGGTGTCTTTAATACAGATAATGAGTTCAAACAGGTGCCATTAATACAGGTAACGAGTGGAGGACAGAAAAGCTTCTTAAAGAAGACGTTACAGGTCTGTGAGAGCCAGAGATTTTTCTTGTTTGAAGTGACCAAATACTTATTTTCCACCCTCATTTACAAATACATTTTTTTTTAAATCCTGCCATGTGAATTCATGGATTTTTTTTTTCACATTCTGTCTCTCACAGTTGAAGTGTACCTATTATGTAAATTACTGACCTCTGTCATCATTTTAAGTGGGAGAACCTGCACAATTGGTGGTTGACTAAATACTTTTTTGCCCCACTGTAGAAACAATCTTACTGTCCTAGCAAACATTCGAACGTTTAATGACAGATGAAACAACGTCAAACCGACACGTTCTGTCATGGTTGAAAAATAGTTCCAATATGAAAGTTGAACCGACGTCTTTTCTGGCCGTGACATCAACGTCTTTCAGCGCGTCTCATTTGGACGTTTTATAATAAAAATGTAGGCTTCTTATTACTGTTTTAATGTAAAAAATATATATCATTATTGTAAAAAAATATCAATAGTAAAAAAAAAATAACAAATCACAAGTGGAGATGGAATATCGGATGTTCCTAACTGGTTCCGAACTCGGATCCTCGGCGTTTCAGGTAGACACATTCCATGAGGAGTCGTAAATGGTCAAATAAATTGCCTATTGTTGCGTTTATTTTGGCCAAAAGGCTTGAATGTAGCCCATTGAAAATTATATAAAAAATGTTTTGCGTCCATGACGTCTTCCCCCACTGCCAATAATGCTTAATTTTATATAAACGTGTTTCAGAAAAAATCACTAATGCCCTATCTATCAAACTATCTCTTAAACGTTCAAATTTTACGTAAAAAATCTTCACAAGTTGTAAAAATATAAATCTGTCTTTACCTGAACTGTCATTTCCATCTGGTGTTGCAACACGCATGTGAGTTCTCTTGTCTTCGAACACGCAGGCGACTTTTGTAGGGGTGTGTTTTGTAGGGGGCGTGGTTTGTATTGGCTGGGGCTGCAGCTAGACCTTACTCGAGTCAGTGTTGGGGTGACTAAAGTTTTCAACGAAACATACCTCGTGTCAAGTTAATCCTTAACTCCTCCACAATCCAACATAAGGCCAAATGCAGAAATCCTATAATCGCACCCTAAAGTTTACCAGAGGAAAATCTCCTGCGAACCTTTTCGTCTTCTTCAGACATCAGATTTTAGATTCAGCATGTCCTGCTGAAGTACACCACTACGTCTTAGATGCTTATGTTACTTCAATTCAATTCAATTAAATTTTATTTATAACGCGCCAAAGCATGACAAGAGTCGTCTCAAGGCGCTTCACATAATAAACATTCCAATACAGGTCAGTTCTTAGGCCAATCAGAAAAAATGTTTCCTATATAAGGAACCCAGCAGATTGCTGTAAAGTCACTGACTAGTGTCAGTGTCTTTACGGCAATCCTCATACTAAGCAAGCATGCAGCGACAGTGGAAAGGAATACTTCCTTTTAACAGGAAGAAACCTCCAGAGGATCCTGGCTCAATATAAGCAGCCATCCTCCACGACTCACTGGGGATCGATTAGACACACACACACACACACACACACACACACACACACACACACACACACACACACGCACACGCACACACACCTTACGCGCGCACACACACACACACACAAAGCAATGTGTTTATGGTTACATTGTGATTTCTTAGTAAATATTCTATTTGGTGAGAGATAAACTTTATTGTATTTATCCTAGTGAATCTATAATTAAACAGGTAAACTAGTAGTAGCACATCCAACGTCAAGAAAAGCAAAATGTTATCAGGAGAGGGAGAATGTTTAAGTGGTTAGCAGCAGTGTGCTAGACGATGGCCCCCTCCATGAGGCCACCACAGCTCAGTAGAACATCATTGTAGCTTCTTCTGGGGAGAAAATCACTTAGAGAAAAAATAAAGTTAACAGCTGAAATTGCAAGAAATAATGCAGTTAGAGAGCAGATTGTAGAAGAAAGTAGTAGAGTGTGGAAAGTGGTCAGTGTATCCTCCAGCAGTCTAAGCCTATAGCAGCATAACTACAGAGATAACTCTGGATAACCTAGCCTTTTAGATGGAGGAATGTTGGAGGCAGGGCAAGGGAGAGCCGTCTTTACCGACTGTACACTCCACCTCCCTCTACTCCCCACTTGTCCAGATCTAGGCTAACATCAGATTTTAACCACAGGCCATGTCAAATAAAAATGTTTTGAGCCTATTCTTAAAAGTAGACAAAGTGTCTGCCTCACAGACTAAAGCTGGGAGCTGGTTCCACAGGAGAGGAGCCTGATAACTAAAAGATTTGCCTCCCATCCTAATTGTAGATATTCTGGGAACCACTAGTAAACCTGCAGTCTGAGAGTGAAGTGCTCAATTAGGAACGTATGGAACAATCAGGTCACTGATGTATGATGGAGCTTGATTATTAAGTTTTTTATATGTGAGAAGAAGGATCTTAAAATCTATTCTGAATTTAACAGGCAGCCAATGTAGGGAAGCTAAGACAGGAGAGATATGATCTCTCTTTTTAATTCTCATCAGAACTCTAGCTGCAGCATTTTGGACAAGCTGAAGACTTTTAACTACATTCTGTGGACTTCCTGAGAGTAATGAATTACAGTAATCCTGTCTTGATGTAATAAATGCATGAACTAGTTTTTCAGCATCACTCCTGGAAAGGATGCTTCTAATCTTAGCAATATTCCTGTACTTGCTGTACAACAGCAGTCCATTACCCTCCTTTATTTCATTGTTGGAGGTCAAAACAATAACAGTGGGGTCATCTGCAAACTCTACAACATGATTGCCAGGATAGCTTGCAGAGCAATCAAATGAGCAGGGAGTACATGATGGAGTTCAGAACACAACCTTGTGGAGCACCAGTGTTGAGTATAATGATGGAAAAGGACACACAATAGATCTTCAGTAGATAGAAAACAGAGATATAGGAAAAGGTTTTACCTGGTTAGACAAAAAGATAAAGAGAGGATGTCTCTGTGAGAGCACGAGTCAGTTGTACTTTAGCCAGTTTCACATAGGTGGGTTGGTGCTGATTTTAAATCTCTAAGCATATGGTTCTCTTCCTGATTTCTAATCTGGATGTGTTAGTCTAAGTAAAAAAGCAGCTGTTATCTGACCACATGATACAGTCTTAAGCAGAGGTCAAATATAACACACTGCAATTCAGAGGAATGGCTGGTCTGACATTGTTGGGGTTGTTGCTGGCAGGACTTAGTCTCAAACTATATTTAACAACTCCTTTTTATTCTAATGCTTAGGGTTAGATGACCATTAGATGCTGTAGAAAGTCATACAGTGAGTATGTTTTTGAGTGAGTTTCTTCAAAGAGACATTGTGCCAGGTTCTGACTGTGGGCAGGAAGGATACTCTGTCTTCCAGTAGATCTGAAGAAGCCTCTGACTGAAGACAGTCTGTTGTTGACTTACTGTCTTGTGGAGAGGATGCTCTGGGTTGTCCATCATGTTCTTCATTTTATGAAGTGTTCCCTTTTGTCCAACCAGCCCCAGAGGTCCTAGAGCCATCCTTGGAACAGAAGCAGCTTTTGTATCAGCTTGTTTAGCCTTTTACAACCACTGGCTTTGATGCTGCTGCCCAGCAGATGACTGCAGATGAGTCTGTACAACAGACAGGAGATTTACAACATCTTGCTGCGAAAAGATTCCTAAAGAAGTCCAGTATGCTCTGTTGCTTCTTGTGTGGAGCTTCACTGATGTCTGTCCTGTTCAGTCTGCCATCCAGGTGAACACAGATGTCTTTATGTTCCTCCACTTTTTCCTCGTAATGGAGCGTAAACATGCATCAGAGTCACCCTTTATCTACTTTTTCATATCCTGGTTAAAATTCAAAATTTACCCAAATTAATAAAATCCGTCATTACATATCAAAAGAACTCAACAAGACAAAGAAGAAAAGCAGAAGGAAGCTTCTGTATTTAATTTGAGAGTAAAACATCACAACATGATGTGATTGAATAAACATTTAAATCCATGGATATTCTGTACTTTAGTACAATTACTTTACTTTCAAATTGTGCGGACTTCAGAAGAACATCAAAAAATATTTACTAACAACAATACTTTCAAGACAACGCCCATGGCTCTTTCTCCAAGAAACAGGTAAGTTTTAAACTATGAACTGTAATATTAACAACACCATAAATATCTTTCTAATTAGTCAAATGTGATTGATTTTGTTCTTGTGTGACGTTAACAATTAACCTTAAATAAATCACCATAGAGACAAAATCCCAGCTACACTTGGAAATAACTAAAGAGCTTTTTTTTTTGTCTATCCTGAACAAATCTCCATCAGCTGAAAAATAAGAAGTTGTTTATTTGGATATAAAACTTGGGCTTGACCAAGTTTCTCAGTATGATTTTATAACTGACAAAATAACACTTTTCTCTCTAAGAGCCACCATGTTTCATCCCCTTTATGAAAATATCTGGTTTAATGCCACCTTTCAGTAAAATGGGTCAGTCACAACAGCAGCAGTTTTAACATTTAACTGTCAAACATCTTCTTCCTGTCCGACTTGTCTTCAATGTTCTTACGCCAGTCTCCCACATCACGCAGCTGCTTGTCCTGTGAAAAGACACCAGAGTTATCTCAGTTCACAGACTGAAACCTATCTAATATAAGAGCAATCCGCATCAAACTTTTCTGGTTCCTGTCACCATAGAGGAATTCAGTTTGAGAGAAGCTCACCTCCTCTTTGACCTCCTTCTTGACCTGCTTCAGGTTGGCTCTTAGGTCCATGTTGACCGTGTGCTTTGAACCCAACAGAGCCTTCAGCATGGCGTCAGCAGACATGCGCACTTTCTTCAGCCGGGGTCTCTTAAACTTGCCTCGAAGATCCACAATCTTGATATTGAGGTCCCTGACCTTTCAGGAGGTTTTGGGGAAAGAAGAAGGCTTTGAGTCATGGGGCTCCACAGGGTTCAGTGCTCGGACAGCTACTCTTAATTTTAAAAATGCTTGCAGCAGGACAAATGATCAGAAATCACAGGATAAATTTCCATTGCAAAGTAATGATACTCTACAATTCAGTGAATCAGACTACGAGCATGTCTCAGAGAAATAAAAACCTGTGATTCTCTCATTCTCTTTTCTTTAATTCAAAGCCCGAGGCTACGGGTTTTGGACACGAGCCACTTAAGCCAGAATTCACATGGCAGGATTTTGAAAATGTAGGCATGAGAGACCTCACACATGGTGAGAATAACTCACAGATATACTAATTTTGGTCGCACACTTTATGTGAAGCAACTCTGCTTACAAACTGATGTCACATGCAAACGTTTCACGCTCAGACTGGAACTCTCATGAGATAAAGGAGGCTTCAGAATAAACAAACATGGTGGAGGAGACGTGTGCTGCTCGCTTTTTTAGCTGGCTTTCTGATTGGCTACATGTCACATTCAACTGTAGCATGTTCAATTGTCCTCGAGTTTCAGACCAAGACAACATGATTAAAAGCACAGATTTATGATAGGAGTGTGCCTGAAATGCTTCTGAGCAGACCAGAGCGCTTATAACACACCACACAAAGTAGGATTGTCTGATAAGATTATCTCTAGAGCCATGACGTAGTCATGTGCAACCATAAGGAGTGGGGCCGGTTAAAAGCCTGCGTGAGTGTCCAACTGTTCTGTGTTTGTGTCTTTCCTGTCCTCTCAGGCCCCTTTGACTGAAGATGAAGGCCACCCATCCTGGATTCTTCCTGTTGAAATGGAATTTTCTTTCTACTTTCCACTAATCTGGACCTGATATGAAGGTGTTGCTTTTTGTACAGTGCTTGAAATTACTTAGTTCTAACCTGGCTCTATGTAATTAAACTGAATATATTATCATATATTATAACAACTGCTTAATTAACAATAAGAGCCGAATATAAACTACTGTAAAACAGTTGTTGCTTCATTCGACAGAGGCAGACACTTGGAGTCAATGACTCGGGCTCAGACTGGATCAAAGAAAGAACTATAGTGACACTCTGTGGTCAAGCTGGGGTATTTCAGTAGGAGGTCTGGCCGCTTCTCAAGTCCACTCATTATATTTACTAATAAAGTCCACATTTCTTTAAAGGGGACCTAGAACTACTTTTTTTACAATTGGAAACTCAGGTTTTTAGTCTATTGTAAGGAACAGCTGACAGCTTTTTAGATAAGGGTCAAAGGTTATGTGAGGTATAGATATATAGATAACTTTATTGTCTGTTTTATAACAAAAACCTGAAATTTGTCCTGGACACGATTTCATGAAAATAAAGTAAAATATGTAAACCCCTCCCATTAAAATGTGGGAATCATTTAATCTTTTATTTCCTAAATGTAGTCATCACTGCTTCAGAACAGAGGAGGCCTGAGTTTTCAGCTCCTCAGGTTAGAATTTGATCCCAAGTCAGTTTCAGGTGATGACTTGATGACTTACCTCATCGAGCACTAAGTTTAATTTGAACTCTATGCAGTATCTCTCCTCTTCACTGTTGTTAACCTCCTCATGAAGTTTATTGCAAAGTTCCTGGAGACAAAACAAAAACTATAAAGATTATTTATTTCATAAAATGTTATTGTTATTTTTTTTAATCAATCATTGTGTGAATTTCACAAACCGAAAAGGTTTTCTTACAATAAGCTCTTCCCTGGAGTATGGTAGCTCTAGAGGAGGGCATTTCTCTGCCAAGAACTTCTCCCGTTCTGCAGCTTTTGCCTGAGACTCAACCTCCAGCAAATTATTTGCCACAACCAGCATACAGCTCTGGAAATGGACATTTAATCACATAAGTATCACATGAATGACTAACCACAGTGGCACAGATAAACAAACAATTAAATTAGAGACATGTAAAAACATTGATGATATTCAGATTTTTATACAAATCACAGTAAAAAAGTCCTGATATGAAAGTCAACAATACAAAACATTCATTCTTACAGGCTCAGTAGGGGCCAATAAGGGTCTACATAATGGGTCTATATTGGTTTATTTAAGGGTCTACATAATGGGTCTATATTGGTCTATATAAGGGTCTACATAATGGGTCTATATTGGTCTATATAAGTGTCTACATAAGTGTCTATATTGGTCTATTTAAGGGTCTACATAAGTGTCTATATTGGTCTATTTAAGGGTCTACATAAGTGTCTATATTGGTCTATATAAGGGTCTACATAATGGGTCTTTATTGGTCTATATAAGGGTCTACATAATGGGTCTATATTGGTCTATATAAGTGTCTACATAAGTGTCTATATTGGTCTATATAAGGGTCTACATAATGGGTCTATATTGGTCTATATAAGTGTCTACATAAGTGTCTATATTGGTCTATTTAAGGGTCTACATAATGGGTCTTTATTGGTCTATATAAGGGTCTACATAAGTGTCTACATAATGGGTCTACATAAGTGTCTATATTGGTCTATAAAAGGGTCTACATAAGTGTCTATATTGGTCTATAAAAGGGTCTACATAAGTGTCAATATTGGTCTATATAAGGGTCTACAAAAGGGTTTTATTCATTTTGACCTTCTCAGAGGCCTAGTAGTAGAGTGTTCGCCCTGGGATTGGAAGATTGGGGTTCAAATCCCGGTCGAGTCATACCAAAGACATTAAAAATGGGACAAAATGTCTCCCTGCTTTACACTTCGCTTTAAGAAGTTGGATTGGGGTTAAACCACTAAATAGTTCCCGAGCGCAGCCACAGATCACGGCTCCCCACGGGGATGGCTCAGAATGAATATTACCAGTATGTGATGACTAATAGTCGCCTCAGTACGGAAAACTCATACGTGACCCAAGTATGAAACCAAATTCTGATCCCATACCTGACCATACTGAGCTAATGTGAGAGCACCATGAATGGGTCTATATAGCTAGTTTTAAGGGATACGCCGAAAATTTGGCTACCTAACTTTTTTGGCCAAAAATGACCCAAAAGTGCATTTCCGGGTTTTGTCCAAAACACCAAAAATCAAGAAAAAAAAAACACGACCAAAACAGGCCATCAGATGAACCCCGTCTTCATTTCATCCCTCATGCGACATCTTGCTCTTTGCTTTAAAAAATATAGAACATTGGCACTGATGTCAAAAGTAAAGTTTTCCCCTTTTAGTAATGCTAAGTGCTGGAATATTCTAATCAATGATGTGACGCACGTTTTACTTTTGAATCCACATCTGCACCGCTTCTTTTGTTTTGTTTTTTTTTTTACATTCCAGTAAAGTCTGTGACTATTAGCACTGTCCTTTCTACACCCACCATGTCCTAAACACAGTGAAATAAGCTTTGGTGTGTGTGAAGCGTGTTTATTCTCTTGAAGCATGCAGACTGTTGCTGCTGCGCAGCTGCAGCGTCACCTTTTTCACTGGACAAGTGAATATCTTCATCAGAGGTTGAATATTCCTCTTTAGTATCAGAGTCAGCCATTACCAAAGAGCTTTGTCATCATGAACAGACCTGTCGGTATTGTGAGTTTCTCCTTTCTAATATAATATTTGACCTCTGTGCTCTCTGCTCGTCTCCTCTCCTGAGGATGAGGAGAAGTTTTCAAACTATAAACTCAGAAAATTTCAATAGAAACACCCAAAGTGTTGCTCAGACATTACACATCTCCACTATCTTCTGGTGTAAAGTAATAACTTCATGAGGGATTATATTTACAGCTGTGGCTCCTTAAATGCAATATTGCGATGTTGATGCTAAAAGAAGTTCCCAAAGCGTTCCCAAATGTACTTCATTTTCTGAGGTGAATTGACAGGTCCCACTCTTTTGTCATTTGAGTTTAACAGTTTTCAACAATCTGCAGAACAAGTGCTCTCTGAAAATATCTCAGACCTCTCAATAGCTTTTCTGATGTGATAGAAATGAGACAGATTTGAGAAGAGTTGCTATGAAATTACAAAACAGAAATAAAATGTGAGCAAATTCAAATAAATTAAACAGTTGAAGAAGAAGAAGAAAGTATCATTTCTACAGCACCTCTCAAGATAAAAATCACGAGGCGCTTCACAAAAACAAAAAATGTAAAAACTAAAAAAAAAATTAGAAAATGGTTAAAAATATATCTAAAATGAGCAAAAAATAGACAATTGTGATTAAAAAATGTTAAGAAAGAGAGTGAATAGGAAAGAGGGAAATCAGTGGATGCTGAGGAAGGTAGAATAGGTGGGGAGAGCAGAATAAAGTGAGAGTGGTGAAGAAGGTCATACAAAAGCCAGCTTGAACAAGTGAGTCTTCAGCTGCTTTTGAAAGGAGACCACTGAGTCCACTGATCTCAGGCTCAGGGGGAGAGAGGTCCAGAGTCTGGGGGCCACAGCAGCAAATGATCTGTCACCTTTGGTCTTTAGCCTGGTGTGCTGTACAACCAGTAGGCTTTGGTCACTGGACCTCAGGGACCTACTGGGGGTGTAAGGACTAAGAAGAGCACCAATGTAAGATGGTGCTTGTCCATGTAAGGCCCTATAGACCAGAACCAGGATCTTGAAATGAACCCTGAAGTTGACTGGCAGCCAGTGAAGCTGCCACAACCTTTTCCAAGATCTTGGAGATGAACGGAAGTTTAGAGATGGGTCTGAAGCTGCTATGGAGAGAGGGGTCAAGACTCGGTTTTTTAAGAAGAGGGTGGATTACAGTTCTTAAAGTAAGCAGGGACCTGACAAGAAACCAGAGAAGCATTAATTATAGAGAGCACGCTGGGACCGATGGACTGAAAAGCACTTTTAAACAAAGATGAGGGTAAGATGTGGAGGGGGCATGCAGAGGTCTTCATAGAGTTAACTAGTTTGGTTAACTCAGGCAAAGAAACAGGAGCAAAGCTATCTAGGATGATGGGCCTGGTTGGAGTCGGGAGAGGCGGCGATAAGGCTGAAGGAGAGATGCTAGATCTAACCTTATTGACTTTGTCCACAAAGAAAGACAGAAAGTTCTCACAGTCTGCAACAGAGTGGATGGAGGCTGTAGGAGAGGCAGGAGACACGATGCTGCTGATGGTGTTAAACAGCACCTTGGGGTTCCCTTTGCTCTGGGACACCAGGTTGGAGAAATAGGAAAACCTCGCGTCTCTGACTGCAGAGTTAAAGGATGCCAGAAGATCCTTTAGGTGCAGCAGATGGATGTGGAGATGGGTTTTCTTCCACAAGTGCTCAATTTTCTGCATTGGCGCTTCAGGCTGCGAAGGCTGTCATTAAACCAGGGAGTAGGGTTCACTGCAGGAACTGATCTGGTTCTGACAGGACAGATGTTGTCCAGAATGGAGAGGCAGTGCTCGTTAAACTGAGAAGTTAAGGAATCTGGGTCGTTATCAGAAGAACAGGGTGAATCAAAAGCAGCAGAAAAATTGCTAGCTGTGCTCTCATTAAAAAAACGAGAACTAACCATACGGCGAGCAGGAGGTGGGGACGCAGAAACTGACAAGTTAAAGAAAATGCAATGGTGATCTGAAATATAAACATCCTCAGGACAAACATTGTCAGCATTTAGACTCAGGGTAAAAACAAGGTCTAGAGTGTGCCCCCTAGTGTGTGTGTGGAGACAGAAACATGCTGGGTAAAGCTGAAAGAGTCCAGGAGGCTGGAGAAATTGATGTAAAATTGGTCCGAGGGATCATCAACGTGGATGTTAAAGTCACCAACAATCACCAGTCTGGACAGCTTCACAGTGGAGAATAGAAAGTCACTAAACTCTTGAAGGAAAGAACTGTTTGGACCAGGTGGACGATAGACTACAGCACAGTAGAACGGGTTCTTACGCCCGACTTTAATCAGCTGCAGTTCAAAGGAAGCAAAGGTTGCATTTGGTTTGCTGTACAAAAATCTGCCACTTGTTACCTGGTCAGGTTTGTCCCTTGTAGAGGACAAAATGCATCATCTTGTTTATATTTCAGCTAATGAGATTTCTTCTGCAGTACTTGACTCAGAATCATGGTCTTCCTGAGAAAAACACACCCTCTTGTGGCTGGTTTAGGTATTGCACTAGAAATATAAGACTGCTATAAGACTCCGATGTTTCTGGCTCAGCTCCTTCTACAGTAATTATGGATGCTTTGCTTCATTCTGAGCTGAAAGGAAGATCTCTTGATTTACTGGTCAGTTTAAATTGTGAGCCTGTGAATGTCACAAGACATGAAACATTGTCATGAATGAGCATCCTCATCAGCATCCTCCTGAAAGGAGCTTGGGCTAGAGCTGCTGATTCTCCTGATGAAAAGACACAGCTAACGTTGTTTGTGCATCTGATTGGGATGTTTACTAGTGACTTCCTCTGGAGGTTTTTCTGACATGTTTCGTTGGGAAAAGAATCAGAAGCAAATATCCTGTCTGGCCTCCACTCTTTGGAACAGCTGGAGAGTGTTGGTGGAGATAACTTCTACCTCTTCAACCCAACCCTGGATAAAGATACGCAGATGCATTTTAAACCACAATAATCTTTGCTGTACTTCTTGAGCCCACCCCCCACATCTGGAAAATGAGATACATTTTATTTATTTATCTTTTTTTTTTTACTTTTTTGCAGTAAAGGTTTGTTGCTGAGATAGAACCAGTGTATCTGTTCTGCAGAGCATCCATCGGTGGAGACAGAAAGTGCTGTTGCCAAGGAAGTGACGCTGGGAATAAACCTGTTACATTCTGCAAAGTAATATAGATAAATGCATGTGTTACTCTTTGATTGTTACAATTCTGAATAGAAAAGAAAATTCTGTTCCCTTAAACGTGGGCCTGAGTAACCACTACGTAGACCCAAATGGCCTTCAGGGTGTTTCTTAGGTTCCTATACAATCATGTCCAGGCACGCAGATAGGGTGGGGGATGGGGGATCTGTCCCCCACAGATTCAGATCGACCCCGATTCGTCCCCCCGCACTAAGGCCAGAAAGAAAACAAAATCAGAGGTTAAGCGCTTGAAACTCCTTTTTCCAATTACATTGAATGCAGCATGACGTAAACAAACAACGACTCCAGAGGCGCCAAAGTGGTTGCTGCTAGGATGCAGGATGAAGTGAAAAAGACAAACAACGATTACTGCGTATTTAAAAAAGACCATCAGTGTAAGGTGGGACCGATCTGTCTGTTTATGCATGTGGGTTCTAGATTCAGTACGTTGTTGTCAGTGTTGGGACTTACTCGTTAAAAGCGCCAAAGCCTCATTGCTGACTTTAACAAGTCTCATCTACAAATATGATCCCTCATGAAGTTACTACTTTACACCAGAAGATAGTGTAGATGTGGAACCTTCAGGCTGAGCAAAGTTTTGGGAGTTTTTAGAGTTTGAAAATCGCCTCCCGCCATGAGGCTCCCAGTCGGGGAGAGGAGGAGATGCGCGCAGCATGAAGAGCGCAAATGTTAGATAAATCGTATAATTGTCGGCAGCTCTGGTCTTTGCTGACTGATCACTTTGTCTGGTAATGACTGACTCTGATTATGAAGCAGATTATTGACTCTGATGAAGAAATTCACTCATCCAGCCGGGAAGATTGACGCTGCTGCAGCATCAGACAGCTGGTGCTGCACGAGAGGTGTGTGGAGTTTACAAGCTCTAGACGTTGGGTTTGATGTTTGTTTAACCTTCTTTAGGACGTGATGGATGTAGAAATGATGGTAAAATACCGCTAACGTGACAGACGTAGCGACAATGTAAAAAGAAAAGCCGTAAAAAGGGGCAGATGGATGCATTAGGTATGGAAGTCAAGTGTGCCACATAATCACAAAAAGTAAAATATAAAATTTAAAAAGAGATTAATATAGTTATATATAAATAAAAACGTTCCAAACATAATGAAAATTTCTAAACGAAGTAAAAATACTAAGGAACATCTGTTGGTCAGGCTGAAATGTTTGGGAACCACTGCTCTAAGTGATAAGTGAATATTGTTTTTAAAATATATTTTATGTGCAGTTTTTTAGGGCTTTATGTTTTCTGTAAAGATTGGTATGCTGAAAATCATTTAATGTTTTGCATAAAGCATGAGGTTTGATTAGTAACTGATTGGGAGAATAACAAATGACTGACTTGGATAGTGTTGATCAGGCAGAGCTTTGTTGCATAATGGCTTCAAGCACGTATATAAAAGTGTTGATTTTTACATAAACCATTGGATGAAATTACACAAATCGACTGAGCTCTAGTTAAGGCTCTTGCAATAGTTTGTATATGTGTACGTGTGTGTGTGTGTGTGCGTGTGGGTGTATGTGTTTGGGGGAGGGTACATTGGAGCTTTGTCCCCCCAGTTAGAAAATCCTATCTGCGCCCCTGATCATGTCAGACGTACTTCATGAGAAAAATATTGTGAATTTTAGATTCTTACCTTCAAAGTGTGCTTACGCCTCGCAGACAGTCGTTTCCTGCAAACAGAAATGTGATTAAATAAATAATCTTAGAAGGTCTCTAACATTTTAAGTACATTTGGACATAAAACACAAAACATTAAATAAGTTATTTATTTAACATTTAACAATATAAGTAAAAGTAGAGTTCAATAGAATCCTAAGCAAGCATTTCTGGGGCTCTTGACTTTAACATGTCTGATCTGAAAGGTTGATTTTCTGCTCGATTAGAGGGTTTGGGCGGGGGCACAGCTGGGCTAGACCACCAGAAACAAGGGCCATCAGAAGATTTTAGGATCTTTATTGTGCTGTGATTGTGTTTCTATTTGTTCATTGACAGGCTTAACAATGAAGTGTTACAATATCATCAGGAACTGGCCCTCCTCATATTATGACATCTCTAAAACATTCTAGATATAAAAAAGTACATTTAAAATCAGCTTGTTCATTCTTCTTATAAAGTCACATTCAGACATATTAAACACATAAAAGTAATGCGTTAAACGACAGAATATGGTGCAAAAGTCCATTTATGTCATCAATCCTGGTGCTGGTGTAAAGGTCCGGTCCAGCGGGGGGAGCTGCTGTTCAGATAGACGACTGATGACTGAAGCAGTGATCCGACAGGAATGTAGTGTTCCTATTGTAACTGAGCGACAGGTCCGACTGAGTGGACTGATCCAGGTGTGTGTGTGTGTGTGTGGGTGGGGGGGGGGGGGGGGGGGGGGGGGGCATCACCGCTTCAAACAGAATTTTGTGGGTGATTCAAACCAGCCACAACGCAGCCATTTTTAGGCTTGTCCCAGAAGCGGCGCGCTGTTGTGCCGCTAAGTGTTTTTTTATTTTTGCTGAAAGCCATTTTTGAGACACGTCAATTTCCGCAGTTAACATAGGGCTAGACAGGAAATCACACATGGTGTCAGTGTAAAATCCCTGGTCATTTTCTAAATAAAAGTGGTGTAGCCGTGCGATTTCATAGCCCAATGGTTTTTTACTCCCTGCATCATTCCAGAAGTGCCAGACCCGGCCTGCGGGCCGTCCACTGAGTACCACTGCTTTACGCAACATGCTGAACTTTGACATCAGATTAATTATGTTTTAATATGAAAAATTCCAAACACACAAGAACCTAAATATGGATGTGCAAGCCTTCCTTTACAAACTCACTGCTTTTAGTCAACCTGTTAAAATGGACAGCACTGTGCAAAAGTTTTAGGCAGGTGTGGAAAGAATGCTGTAAATATATAATACTTCTGGAAATATAAGTGATGAATTTACATAATGTAAAGTGAGTGAGCCCAAACATCCAGCCAAGTCATTTAGAAAAGTCCTGGAAGTGGTGGTCTGGCACCCACAGAGCACTGATCCCCGGTGTCAGAGATCACATGAAGAGACAGAAGGATGTGAGGAAGCCTACATCCACAGAAGAGCTGTGGTTAGTTCCACCAGATGTTTGGAACAACCTTCCTGTCCAGTTCCCTCCACAGCTGTGTGATCAACAACAGCTGATCACACCACACGTGAAAGCCCTCTGTGTTTACAGTATTGTTGCCCACCTGCCCAAAACATTCGCTCAGTACTCTATTTTATTTTCTAGCAGAGGGAGGATGGATGAGTAGCCATTTGAACACATCTGTTAGATAATGGAGAACAACTCCCAATCAGGGGGAAACACTTTACTCACTCAGAGGCCATGTTGACTGTAGGATCCTGATATTATCTGTTCAAAGACAAAACACAACAGCAATGAATTCAAATTGTTTTTGCCTGATAAAAGTTTTGCATTCAAGCTCCAATCCTGCATTTTAACACTCTTTTAAATAATAATAAATAGAAATATATACACACACAGAGACAGAGACAGAGAGACAGAGAAATATATAAATTATATATAGTTATAAGCTATATAAATACAGTGGTGTGAAAAACTCTTTGCTCCCTTCCTGATTTCTTATTCTTTTGCATGTTTGTCACACAAAATGTTTCTGATCATCAAACACATTTAACCATTAGTCCAAGATAACACAAGTAAACACAAAATGCAGTTTTGAAATGATGGATTTTATTATTTAGGGAGAGAACAAAATCCAATGCATGCATTGCAGTAGTTGAGCCAGTGGCGGTTCTACATCGAATTACTCCCCGGGCGAGGCCCCCTTTGAGCGCCAACCCCCCCCCCCCAACCGCCCCCACCCACCACCACCACCACCACGCCACCCCACCTGCATGAACACACACATGTTTTCTACAAACAGGCATGTTTTATTAGAACGACTATTGAACATTCATTTTTCTAAGTTGCACATATTTACATTAATTACTATGAAGTTGTCAGAATGTAAAGCACTATACATTATATACTGTATCAAAATATATAGAATCAAATATACAAAAACAAACAATAACTAAATATTAAGAATATATGAACATAATTTATAATAAATATTCTAAATAGCAAAAATATTTCACACATGACAAACTAAAGATAATCACTACAGCATTGCACTTAGAATAGAAAACACAAACTAAAATTAAAACCTAACCTTGATGCAAAGTCATCAATAATGTCATCACATGAAATCTGCTCCCCTACTGAGTGATTGATACTAATCAGAGCCAGGTTAGTGAGCCGCCCCTGAAACATAGTTGACCTCAGGTATGACTTGATCAAGTTTTGAAAAGCTCTTCTCAGCTTGAGCCACAGTGACTGGCAGAGCAGTCCAAAAGTTGGGGTAGATCTCCAATAGATCTTTATCATGATCCATAATATTTTAGAATTGCCTCTGAAATTGTAATTTAAACTGACATAAAAAACTGTAGACTACCAAAAATGCCAACTTTTACAGAAATCATGTAAAAATAATCAGTGCAGCCATCTGCAATAAATAAACAGCATAGTTAGTGGTGACTGGGGTGTTTTCTTCTGCTTGTAGAGTTGTTTTATTTATTATTATGTGAACATGATCAACATGTGTTTGTTGTTGTTCAGGCAGGCCACAGGCTGCAGTGAGCATTTAACAAATCCTAGTTTGAATCAGTAAAAAACGATTCAAGGACTTTTTTCGAACCATTTTAATATTCGTTTCAATATTTCAGCCCTATTAGCTCTGTTAGCAATTAGTTGACCGCATTTAACCGTTAAAATCCCAGTTAACTGGTTCAAAAAATTGAAAACATGCATTATGAGAGTGTACATACCTTTATCTTTCTCCTCTTTTTTCTTTTTTTTCCTTTCCCCCCTGAATGGGGCACCTGGTGGTTTTAGCCTTTTTATGTTCATCTCTTCTGTTTGGCTCCTGACTCAGTAAGTTTCCTTTAGTCAGGACTAAACAATTTGACCTTGATGGGTGGGTGACCACAAAATCGTTTTGTTTTTCCTTTTTTTATTCGGCCATTTCACACAATTCAGAGAAACCTGAAAGAATGATAGGCCTGTGTTTGTGATATTATGAATGAAATATGGAAGAACGTTAAGATGTGATTGACTTTAGCCATGTTAATACAGTTGATTCAGCCCCTGAACGCTCATTTCATTTGGGAAAGACGCAGAGGTGAATTCCCCCGCCGCACCCCTCCCCTTCCTGTTCTTCATAGACACACAGTGCACGTGAACGTTCTCAGTCAGCAGGAGCGCCTGCAGCTGCAGGGGGCGCCAACTTGCTGTTTCCAATCCAGACACTGTCATATGACAGATAATAGAAAACCTCGGTGCGCGCAGATTTCCTTTTTTTTTTTTTTTTACTCCGCGCTTGTGCGCCCCTTTTGTGTCATGAAAAAATGCCGCCCCGGGCAACTGCCCTGTCTGCCCGTGCCTAAAACCGCTACTGAGTTGAGCCTTGAAAGAACAAAAGCATGTGTGACAGTCTCTAGATGTACTCTGGACAGCAGGGCCTTAATTCTGGCTAGTCAGCATAAGTTAAAAAAACACGATCGCACAACCTGGTTGATTTGCGCGTCGAATTTAAGGGCTGAGTCCAGTTGCACTCCCAAATTTCGGATGGTGGTCTTCATGTTGGATGCTAAAGGGCCCAGATTCACAGCATCGCATGGGCGTGTAGACATGCCAGGGCTAAGTACAATTACTTCAGTCTTAGCGTCATTCAGATGTAAAGTTTGTAGCCATCCAGAAGCGCACATCCTCTAAGGCATCTACAAGCTTTGATACTGACCCATCGACGCCCCGCTGAAGGGGGAGGTAGATCTGACAGTCGTCAGCATAAAAATGAAAACGCATGCCGAACCGCCGAAGAAGATTCCCCAACGGTAGTAAGTAAATCAGGAAGGGGCAACGAGTTTTTCACACCACTGTACATATGTATATATATAGTTTCTATATGTAGACATTTCTTGCTTACTAACTATCATTAATAATTTTATTTATTATTTTCTTATTTATCTCCAGCTTGTTTGCAATTTTAAGAAACACCCATACAATTAATTTTTCTGTGCACCAGAATTTTATTCCCTTAGTTAGTTTGTCTAAATGTAAATAAATAAATAAAATTCATAAATTCAATATGACCATTAAATAAAAGCATAGCTTTAACTAAAGAAAATGTTTTAAAAGTTTTACTTCAGTTGTATGCTCATGTATGAAGGCTGAAAACACTCAAACACCTGGCAGACATCCTTTTCCATGCAACATTCCAAATGCATCACTAATGATCGTAGACACGTGCACAGCCCTGCTACGTCAGATTGAAAGTTGGCATAAAAACATTTCTGCAAATATTGGCAATGTTTAGTGAGCTTGCTGGGAAATGATTAAGTGTGTGACAGAAACATGCCCAAAGTTGTGCATAAAAATACCTTCGGTAACACGCTAGCATTAACGGTTAACGCAACTGCAGCAGTACAGAGAGCATGTATCTGCGGAAAGATGGAATTTTCTGCCATGATTGAGGTTCTTTGGATAATCCTGTTGAAACGCGGGATTGTGGCAGGTATGTGCACATAACAATGTAACAATGAACACGATTTACAACCAGAGCAATTGACTGCACACACATTGCTTAAATGAGAATGCATCAAAAGATCAATTGTTACTTTGTTAGATGAACATATCTTGATCGAGTCCAAGCACAAATTAAATGTGGTGCACAAATCTAGCCAGGTGTTTATAGGTCTGGTTCACCACACAATGGTTCTGTTCTGATGAATAGCATTATGCTGAACAGGCCAGCAGCCGTGGTAACAATCCCCCAAATTAAAGCTGCAACCACAAATTTGAAAAATAAATTTGCTTAAGCATTTATTTTCATGCCTCTTAAAAACGTTCTAATATGGTATAGCTGTAAATATACTGTGGAGATTCAAAAATAATAATAAACTGCTTCTTTCACATTTGTCTAAAAAACATTGCTGATAACTCGTTTCGGATTGAAAGCACCTATTGGGCCAACTGGTTGTTGGTCTTGCTGTACCGCTGCACTTCCCTGAGTCCTCCACTCATCACACACTCTCGTATTTAGCACCAGAACACAATTGGTGTGAGAAGTTCTCTGCTCAATAACATCAGAGAAGGAGAAATAGCCGGCTGCTACCACTTCAACTTTAGGACTAATTACCAGAGTCCCAAAATGAAAATCACTAATTGAAGTCACGGACAACAAAATACTTTACCAAGCACATCAATGCCGTGGACAAGAACACCAAGTTCACCAGGGAGGATGCCCACAACAACATACTGCCCTTCTTGGACTGTGCTGCGCAAACTGCACAAGATGGAAGTCTACAGGAAACCAAATCACACAGACCAGCATTTGCATTTCGACTCACATCACCCACTGGAGCACAAAGTGTCAGTCATCAGGACTTCATACCATCGGGCTGAGAACATTCCCTCAAAGACTGAAGGAAAACAAAAGGAAGAAAAACACATCAAGAAAGCGCTCCAGAATTGCAGATACCATAACTGGGCCTTTGTGAAATCTGCAAAGTAGTCTGGAAAAGCATCTAAAGCAGCAACCAGCCAATAAAAGGCCAACAGGCGCAAAGGCACCATCCCATAAAAGTCAGGAGTCTCAGAGAAACGTAGAAGACTCTTCTCCAAACACAACATCCTGGTAAACTTTAAACCCAACAACACCCTCAGTCCAAAAGACAAAACACCCAAACAGAAGCTCAGTGGTGTTGTTAATGCAGTCCAGTGTAGAGAGGACTGTCCAGATGTTTACTCCGGGGAAACAAACAACAATTACACAAGAACATGGCAAAACACAGGAGAGCCACCTCTTCAGGTCAGGACTCAGCAGTCCACCTTCACCTGATGGACAAGGGACACACCTTTGAAAATGACAAGGGACACATTCTGGACAGAGAAGATAGATGGTTTGTGAGAGGAGTAAGAAAGCTGTCTATGTCAAATGTGGGAAAAAAAAACACTTTAAATAGGGGAGGGGCTTAGATTTCACCTTTTCAGTACCAATAATGCAGCTTTGAATCTCATTCCTAAGCAGTTTCAGTCTAGGTCACACCTTCCTGCATCTAGTCAACACGGCGACTCCCTCTCAGTAGAGGCCAACAACTCATCAGGGGATGGAGAGGAGGGGTACTCAGAGTAGTTTCTGCTAGTTAAACAACAACAGACAGCTACAACTTATCAACTCAATGCTCCCATATTTCAGTCAGAATTAACAAAGCTCCTCGGATGAGAAGTAAAACATCTTCAAGAAACCAAAGAAGTCCAGTTGCCTCCATTTTAACCCTTCTGGATTACCATGGCCTGGATGACTGAGAACCTTCATCAGCATATTTTTTTTAATTAATCACAGTTTTATTTTAAGTACTGTACATTTTAATAACTATTGGTTTATTTAATAATCTTTAAACCAATATTCTCTATATTAAACCCCACCTGACTAAAAACGGGCTCATTAAACATCTGGGATTTCACAGGCTGGCAACACTCCAACTAAAATTCATGCAGCTAATAATTGTATTGTTTACCTTTAGTGTTCCGTTTGTTTTAAATTCAAATTTGAATGAATGGGATGCCTTCGTTTTAAAAATACAGGAGACTAGTTAGAATAATAGCACAAAAACCAAAGCCTGCAGCGGACGGATGTAAAACAATGTTCCTGAAGTCAGCGACCACACTAAACATCGTAAACGCTCCATGTGCTCACCCTTTGGACCTGGATAACACCTGCCTGTAGCACCAAGACTCCAAGAGAGATGTCTGTTCCACACCAGCAGCACCTCTCCTTCATATTCTGTCTTATGATTTATTTATAGCTGTTTAATGAGGTTTGTGGTGTTACTGCAATTCCTCACAGTCTTCCTACTGTTAACACACTTCTTCATCGCTGTTAGCAGCACTCAAGTAGCTCCACACATGACCGTTTACGCTCTGCTAGCCGTGAGGGTCCAGCTGCAGCGTTAACAGAAGGGAAGGCAGTGTGCGCCCCCCGTGAGGGCTTAAGGTATTTATACTGTGCCCATACTCAGCACAATGGTTGGTGGAAGAAGAAGTAGTTCTGACCAAAGAAGCATCTTTTTTTTTTACATGTCCCCAAAATTCATAAATAAAATGATTTTAAAATTGATGCTTAACTGAGAGTATCAACTCCAAAACACAAATAGCGATCAGTGCTTCAGTATCGATACGTACATCCCTAAAGTCCAGCCATGGGCACTGGGCTGTGTGTCTCTGGTCCATCGCTGATAAACACACTTCCACCTATTTACTGGATCAGCTACGACGACTCAGCCCTTCATCAGGATACAAACATGCAACATAAAGAGGCTTTATGCAAAAATTTGACAACGCAAATGTATTCATCTTTTTATTATTAGACTAATTCAGGCAGGAACACTGTCCTCCTAAAACCATGTAAGTACCACTGGAGGTTACCTGGAAGCACCCCACCCTGCGGCCTGCGGGTATCTCTGTGATAAATGGTGTTTTTTCCTACAGTGAAGAATAGTGAATCCCTGCAAAGTCGATAGAAAGATGACCAGACAGGTAGGCCAGTGTTCATGTCTATGAAGCTCTTTACCTTAAAGATGAAAACTCACCTGTTCAAGCTGACTTTGTGTGACCTTCATCTCCCTCTCATTGTTCTGCTTTTTCTAACAATTCCATCTTTCCCGGAATCCGCTGATTTCCCTCTTTCCCAATCCTTTCTCTTTCCTAGCATTTTTAATCACAAATCTTTCTTTTTTATATATATATTTTTCTTCTAAAACCATATTTTTATTCATTTTTTTGAAGTTTTTTTTATCTTATGTTCTGCGAAGTGCCTCATGATTATTATCTTGAGAGGCGGGATTTAAAAGATCATTTTCTTTATTTTGTTTATCCGTCTCACAGAAAGCGACCTCAGCAGCTCTAGCCCTGAAATTTTCAGTACCGTCCAAAATGAGCCGTTTCAGGGCTCTAATTTTAAAGAAAACAAGCTGCTGCAGGTGACGTCCACCCTTACCCTTGATTGGGTACTATGAGGTGAGCAGCTTTTATATCTGGGAGGGGCTCAGAGTAGAGCCACTGCTCCTCCAGCATCAACAGGCGAGGGGGTAAGCTAAGGTTCCTTATTCACAAACAGGGATTTTGATTGTATTCATGTTTGAAGTGTTTCTAGAGGCAGAAGTGATCCATATGACAGCAAAATAAGATGTAAAAAGTGAGTTTTGCATAGCATATCCCCTATAGGGGGCTATTGTAGCATGAAGCCATAGCTGACCTTTTGTAAATCCCACCTCTGACTGCAGGATTGTCTCTGGAGAAAAGACTCAGGGAATCACCGCAATCTGACACTGGAGAATGTCCGTCAGATGTCCAAGATATCACAGCAAGTCACAAAAATAACTCATCGCTATGCCGACCTCCGTAGCACACACTCTGTTCAGCTGTTTCACACTGGGTGGAACAAACACAAGGTGATGGGGAAGCATCTCAGTCCAAAAAGAACCCCACCAAACTTTAGGTCCTGCTTTAGGTTTACCTTAGTGAAACGTTGATGTTTTTATTGTTTTACTGTGCCTCTCGTTTGTGGTTTTATCTTAAAAGTGCTAGTGTGCAACTTGATGACTGATTTTAAAGGTGCTGTTCCACAAATATCATTATCATAACTTTTTTAGAGCGTCTTACTTATAAAATGCTTCCATTCAGTCAAAATGTGTTAAAACTAAAAACTTGATGTACAGCTTTGGTCTTGCTTGAAACCTTCACAGGCTGAAAAAGGAACTGTCCAAAGGAATGTTCCTTAAATATCAGAATGCTTTGTGAGAACACAAGCTAAATGTGGGACACAGGGATTAAACTGTCATTTAACTTGAAGTCTGAGGGCTGAAGCTGGCAGCTGAACTAGATTAGACTGGGTCTTCTTGTGAACACGACTTTCTGCGGCGCTGACAGGAGGATAAACACGAAGAGATCGGTTTTCCATTTGGTGCCTTGTAGAGGTGTTGCTTTTCAGCGTGCCTCATCCTCAGACTGTTCATCGCTGGTGTTACAGCAAGGAGCCTGAGAACTTATCAAGACAGAAACCTGCTCCTCCAGAGGCTGACTGTTGAAGGCCAATGCCTTTTGTTTAAGTGGTTCTTTGAACTACAACTCAAATGTACCTGTTAGTGCACACTCATGCATCAGTTTTTAGATCACAGGTCCTCTGTCCTGCTCAGGGTCTCTCTGACATGCAGAAATAGATTCTGCAATCAAAGTGGCGCTCCTGGGCCACACCTGCCCCAGGTGTTACAGTAAAATTAATAGTGTAAAATATCTGCTGCAAAAAACACATTCACTGATAATTCCACCGTTCTGTGTGGGGAAAGAAATCATTAACAGTTGATGACTAAGTTAACTGTTGGCATCCAACCACTACAACCTTTACACATCAAACTGATAGTGTGATGAAACAATTGGTCAAACATCTGTATGCTTTCTGACATCTATTGAGGGTATTCCCACGTTTGAACAGCTGCACCAACAAAATAAGAACATTTAAACTGACTGTCATGCAAGCAACCACCAGTCAACAAGCATAATAATGGAGAAAGTGTCCTTACTTTAACCAGACAGTTGTTTGAATCCCAGAGATGCAGACTGAGTCCCGGGCAGATGAGATGTTAAGATGGTATATATTGACAGCCCTCAAAACCCTCCACTTTCTTTTTATGGAAGTGGATTACCGGTCAAACCAATGAGCTGGCAAGGTCATGAAATACAGTCCAGAGTCATCTGTCCCCTTCCCCTGCTCACCACATTATAAATAACCCACCCTTTGAGATTCTTATTCACTTTATCTTGTGCCATCGAGCTTACAGAAGTGATTCAAATGTACTGAAGTGCAGTCGTTTTCTTACTTTTCTTTTCTTAAAAATTCAAAACTGAGGGATTTGATAGAAAGCAGGAAAAACACAAACTAAAGTGATGATTTCATTGTCAGACCAAACGCTGGCTGAAACACTGTAGCAGGACCTTAAAGGGGTTCTAGAACAATCCTTTTACTGTTCTTTGAGTCAAAGGATATGAAACTTAGTTGGGGTCCATTTTGGCCCATGAGACCTGGTTAAGGGTTAAACACAACCCCATAAAGCTTGGTTTATGCTTGACGCGTCCGCGAGGTTCGCACGGCTCCGCGCGGCAAAGTTGCGTCATTTTAACAACCACGCCACGCCTCTGCACGACCCAAACTTTCTGCACCGCACACCTAGGAAATTTTCTAACCACGCGGACGTTCGAACACGGAAAAACATGGCGGACTGGCAAGAACTAGTTATGGCAGAGTTCGTAAATACAGACATTTGTATGAATCAGCTCTCCAAGATCACCATGATCAACATGTTGTTAATAATTCTTGGAGAGAAATAGCTCGCACTGTCGGAAAAGACGAGGACGCTGTTAAGAGGACGCTGGAAAAACATGAGGGACCGATGTGTGAAGGCAAGGACGGGGAATAAACAGAAAAGCGGTGATTCTGGTGGAAACAAGAACACTCCACCAATTCTGAAAGAGCTGAGTTGGCTCTCAACTTTCATTAACAACTGTTATAAACAACAGTAATGTCTACTTCTACTATGGTGTAGTGTTGGATGCATGCTGTAGAGCTCCACGCTGCCCCCTACAGTTTGGGAGAATATTGGCTCACCGCAGAGACAAGCCGCATGAACCATAAATGCTGAGAGTTGTGAAGTGTGTTCCATCCGCGAGCCGCATCACCAAGCGGAAAGTAAATGCGTCAAGCATAAACCAAGCTTAATAGTCCAAAGAGGATGTCAGCAGTAGGTCAGGCCAGCATTGTTCTGTGGTTAGCATCCCTGCCACTAACATTTGCATATTGTTGACACTGAAGAGGACTGGGAAATGTTAATTAAAGGGTGAGTGTCTAAACTCTGTTTTATACTTCTTTATTTGCAGATGTATGGAGACACAACATTTTCTAAAGATGCAAGGGCTCTACCACCAGCATGCCACGACAGACGGAGTAAAGCCCAATTTTTTAATTAGCTGTTGAACACAACGGAGAGGGCACATCTGTGATTGGTTGGCCCAACAACAGCGTCGTTGTTGGTGGACACACAGTCCTACACCTTCATTGGAGTCCAGCTGAGTTTGATTATACTGATTGGACTTGATTAGGAAAGCCACACACCTATGTGTATAAGACCTTACAGCTCACAGTGCATGTCAGAGCAAATGAGAATCAAGAGGTCAAAGGAACAAGCAAGGCACCGACCTGGCCAAGGTTACAAAAACATCTCTGCTGCACTTAAGGTTCCTAACAGCACAGCGGCCTCCCTAACCCTTAAATGGAAGACTTTGGGAGGACCAGAGCCCTTCCTAGAGCAGGCCCTCCAACCAAACTCAGCTACGGGGGAAGAAGTTTTGACCCCTGCACTTTTTATCATCCAAAAACAATATTACACTATATTAAATTGACACTGGTTGAGCTCTAGGACCAAGCGGAAAACAATCGTTTGTGTTGAAGCCTGTTTCCCATCAGAGCATACTGTAAAGATCAACCCAATCAAGTTGGATTATAGTGATTAGTAGCTGTGTGTGTTTGTTTAGAGATCCCGTTTGGTTCGGCCCCAGTTAGGTATTTTTCGTTTCATTTTCAGCTTTGATAGCTCGCTTTTCGTTTAGTCTTTTTGAATATTGCTAGCCGTTGAGATTTTGTTTTTAGTTGATTAGTTCCGGCGATTTATTTTCTTTTATCTATAACTATTCTCGTGATTTCTCCCCTGGGACCATTTGTCCCAGGTGTTTTGAGTTATCTCCGTCGTGTGTTTTTGTCTAGATAGATTAGAGTGTGTTTTTCGTTTGAACTTTTCCAGTCTAGGACTGTGTATTTTCGTTGCCCTTGTAAAAACAAATATCTTTTATTTACACTCACCCCTCCTTTCTCCTCATCAGTTTTTATGTTACCCCTTTAGCACAACACCTAACACTCAGGGTTTGTACCAAATGAATTTTATTTTCTAGACTAATAATACATGACAAGTTATGAATAACAATGTGTGATGGATGAATACGTGTGGATGGATTGTAATGTTTATCAGAACCTTTGTATCTGGAAGAAACTGTGAGTTCTGGGTGTAAAAGAATTTGGTCTGCTATAAACTAGAGAGTTGATTATTAATAAAATGGCATCATATGCAATCTCGTTGTGTCTACATACCCTGAGGAGACCCATGGATCCGAGATGCCGGGGGGTTGGGTGACCCCAAGGCACTGGAGTTCGTAGATTAACCGCAATGCGACCAGGTCAGTCCAGAGTCGTCTCCTGGTCACAACAGCATGAAGGTTGGTTGCGTCTGAGGATGGACTCTTAAGGAGTCTTGCTGTGTCAGCTGCACCGTGCAAACAGGTTTGACAGTGTGTCAAAGAGATGTTTCAAAAGAGTTTCCTCTGGAAAGACCACTCCGAATTTCTGCTCAAAAACTCAACTCGACACAACTGAACTGAATAACTCAGGAAATGATGTAAGTTTTATTCATTCAAAGGTTAATTTTCTGGCAAATCACAACGTGCCATGTTATGGAGGTTTTACCAAACAAACCTCAGAAACACTCCTTCTTCAGATAGAAGATGCTCTGATTTTGTGGATAAGAAAATCTCTATGTGTCATGACATTTACTGTACCCTTGTGTGTGTATGTACGTGTGTGTGAGCTTGTCAAGTAGACTGATTATAAAACAAACATATCACTGCAAGGACACATTCATTTCAAACGTATTAACTTAAGCAGAGATTAATCAAAACATTTCATTAAACCCCTTGTTCATACTTATATGAATTTTTACGTATTTCATTTCACCGTTCAGTATTCATTATTGTAAATAGGGATGTCCTGATCAGGTTTTTTTTGCCCTCGAGTCAGAGTCATTTGATTTTGAGAATCTGCCGATACCGAGCCCCAATCCGATACTTTCGATACATTTAAAAAAAGAAGAAAAGAAAAGGAAAAAACTGTTCCTGAATGTTCCTTATTTTTTATTTAATTACCTTTTTATTTTAACTTTTTAACAACAGATCACTTCTGTGAGGTAGCTTGAACAATCAAGTAATAAATTCTTCACCTTTGGACTTTATTGCAAATATAAAAAGTCTAATATATAAACCGATAGCACCTCAACTTAAAATACCTGGCAGGGGTCTATTTTGCCTCGGCCCCCAAAATGCTTAGATACGTCCCTGGGCATGGGACAGAGTTTTGAAGGTGATCTGAATTGTATCAACTACATAAATACTGCATGCTGATAAATTAGTGCTTTATACAGGTACAAACGTGTAGTGGGATAAATCTACCTACATTTTTTTAAGAACTTTGTTTTGTTTTCTTGGTTTTTATTTTCCTATCTTCCTGTCCTGTCTGTCTCTGATCTTCCTGCATCTCCCAGCCCTCCAGAGAAACTCCTGCCTGCTTCCTTCTTCTTCACCTCACAAGAAACGTTTTAACTAGCAGATCAAATTGATCTATTGACCGCAAAAAACGTGGAGTGTGCGCCACGCTGCCCGGCTGCGCCAGTGACAAGCACTGCAGCGCAAGCTCGTCCACACGTCATGCTCAAAAACAGACAGAACTTACCAGAGAGAAAATGAGCAGACACGAAAGCCTTTTATTGTTTCTAATATTGATTTTGGCGTACAGCTCATGAAAACCCAAAACTCCTATCTAAAAAAATTAGCATATTTCATCTGACCGATAAAAGAAAAGTGGTTTTAATTCAAAAAAGTCAACCTTCAAATAATTATGTTCAGTTATGCACTCAATACTTGGTCGGGAATCCTTTAGCAGAAATGACTGCTTCAATGCGGCGTAGCATGGAGGCAATCAGCCTGTGGCACTGCTGAGGTGTTATGGAGGCCCAGGATGCTTCGATAGCAGCCTTAAGCTCATCCAGAGTGTTGGGTCTTGTGTCTCTCAACTTTCTCTTCACAATATCCCACAGATTCTCTATGGGGTTCAGGTCAGGAAAGTTGGCAGGCCAATAGAGCACAGTAATACCATGGTCAGTAAACCATTTACCAGTGGTTTTGGCACTGTGAGCACCTCTGTGTTCCTGTTGGGTCAGGCTTCGAGGTGCTGCGTCTTCGCCTTCTGGGTCTGCGCTTTCGGTGCGGTGTCTCTTCTCTGGATGCCTCCTCTCCTTCTGGTGGGTCGGAGGGGCGTTACGTCGCTGCTGCTGGATTGCCCCATGCCTACTTGTCCTCCTGCTGCTCCTCTGGCTACCTTTGTTACAGCTGGTTAGCAGAGGTTCCTGCTTTGCCCCGCTTGAGAGATCCTGTCTTTCGAGTTTGTATTCCTGTGCTCCTGGTTCCAGTGGTATCGAATTCCTGTGCCCTGTGGCTTTGTCCCGCCCTTGGATGCTGGTCCCCTGACTCTCAGTGACATTGGTGACTTGTGTTTTTGTGTGTTGCCCGTGAGCGGGTGCTGCTGGGCGTCAGGGGCCGCCCTTGAGAAGGGGGTATTGTCACATTATTGCTCCCCTGTGCCTTGAGTTTTTCCTTAATTGTGTTCACCTGCCTCTTGTTAACTGATTACCCATCCCAGTGTGTATATAAGCCTTGTGTGTTGCGTGAGGTTTTGTCGGTTCGTACTCGTTACATGTCAGTTTATGTTCACATCTGTCTACCCTGTCGTGTCTGCACTCCTGACCATTAAAAAGGAACCAAATGTCTGCTGCTGTCTGGCCTGGGTTGATTTACCTGCCTGAAGGATCCGCTCTTCCTCCCTCACCTTCCCTCCACATCGTGACATAGCCACTCTGCGGAGATAACTCTTTTCGGCCGCTTGTATCCACAATCTCGTTCTTTCGGTCACTACCCAAAGCTAATGACCATAGGCGAGGGTAGGAACGTAGATCAACCGGTAAATCAAAAGCTTTGCCTTCTGACTCAGCTCTCTCTTCATCACGACAGATCGGTACAACGCCCGCATCACTGCAGATGCAGCACCAATCCGCCCATCAATCTCACGCTCCAGGTTTCCCTCACTCGAGAACAAGACCCCGAGATACTTAAACTCCTCCACTTGGGGCAGGACCTCATCCCTGACCCGGAGAAGGCATTCTACCCTTTTCCAAATTCCGAATCAAGACCATGGTCTCAGATTTAGGTCTAGTCCACACGTAGCCGGGATTTTTTTAAACGAATATCCGCCCCTCCAAAAACTTGCATCCACACCACCTCGTTTAAAAAAAAAAACTCTGTCCACACGTACCCGGATAAATACGTTGTTAAGGACATGCCAGACCTGTAGGCGGCAGTACTTCCCCCTTTCTTAACCTCGTCCTTCGTCTGTAGTCTTCCGCTAGGAGCAGTAATTCTGCTTGCAAAAACAAACAAGCAAAAAGCGCTTGGACAATTGATAAAGCGAGCGTAGCTCTGAGGGCATCCATGCTGTCGGCTAGTGTAAACACAGGTCGCACACGTGATGTCAGCATTTTTTGTCGCGGAAAGTGACGTTGCGGACCTTAAAACTCCGGTTTTGTCCGTCCACACACAGACACCCAAAACGGAGAAAACGCAGATCTTCACTTTGGCCGGAATTTTTAAAAAGATCCGTTTTCGTGTGAAAAAACTCCGTTTTCGTGTGGATGACAAGCCAAAACTTAGAAAAATATCTACGTTTTGGCAGATCCCCGGCTACGTGTGGACAGGGCCTTAGAGTAGCTGATTCTCATCCCGGCTGCTTCACACTCGGCTGCGAACCGCTCCAGCGAAAAGCGAAGATCACGTTCTGAAGAAGCCAAAAGGGATCTTCTTCCTTCTGCACATACTGACCATAAAGCTTTGAATCCTATAATGTTGAATTACAGGTTTCTACCTAATGTCTCTCAGATTTTATGAACACCATACCATACCAAATGTATTTATAAGCACATTTCAAAACAGCATGGCAGCTGACCACAGTGCTGTACAGATTAAAACACAGTACACACCATTGGGATATTTTGGTAAACCAGAACACTAAAAAAACTACCTGCTGTGACTGCCAAACACACGGCTACAGTAAAACAGAATGACTTCAGTTGTTTTTGTTTATTTATTCAGATTGTACAGCTTTGTTGGGTATATCAAAACCTGAACTTGTGCACTTTCAAAGACAAAGGAACCATTTAAGTTCGTGGAAGAGTTCAAAAATACTGAATTAGTTACTTTAAGCCTCAGCTTCAAACATCTTCTTTCTCCCATCCATTCCAGATTTGTCCTCAATATTTTTTCGCCAGTCACCAACGTCACGAAGTTCCTTTTCCTGAAACAGTGAGACATCAAGAAATTAGGGCTGATACATGTTTAGGCGAACAGATCACTAATTTCCCACCCTCAGTGCTTATTATAATTATAGACAATGTAATATGAATATTTTCCCTAGAAAAGCTCATAAAATCTCTCAACTGTCCCTCAGCTACTCTTTACCTTGCATGATGGCTTCTTATCTATACTTTGACTTGTATTTGCATTTCCGATTCCACACATCTTTTATAATTCTCATCATTCTTTTTCTTTGTTTTTCTATTTTATATAAAATGTTGTTGGATTGTTTGTGTGTCAACAGGCCTTGGTCACTTTGATGACAGGCTTTTATGGGACCTTTGCTTGACAATCTGTTTATTCTAAAGTATGCTAGAATTGCTGGAATTGTTGGAACACCATGGTGTTCCTTCTGCAGAAGGTTCTAGATGACAAGAAAGAGCAAGTCTGTCACGGCCTGAGGTATATTATGAGCCATTCCCATCTGTACCAGGTCGGCCCGGGCCGGGTAGCCCCAGTCGGCCCCAGCCTGGCTCGGTTGATTCCACACATCCTTGCCTTAAGCCCATGTGGGCTGATTCTACCCACCAATCAGAGGCTTGCTCTAATGGAAGGTGTGAATTTGCTGTCAGCAGTGGGTGTGTTGGCCCTGGTCGGCCTGAAGCAGACCCCCTCGAGAAGAGGGCTGAGAATGAGCCTTGGTTGGCCCGGAAAAATACCAGGCCACCCAGATATGTAAACAACCTACGCTACCCGGCACGGGCCGACCTGGTACAGATGGGAATGGCCCACTATTCTCCAGACTAACCTCTTTCCTGCAGGTGGGCGGTGTCGGAAAGCTGCCCGGCTGCAGCCATTCAGCTGCAATCACCGGCTGGTATAAAAGGAGCAGTCTGAGACCTACACGACGTCGGATGATTAACTCGTTTGGGTACACGACCAAATCTCGAGCTCTCTTTGTGATTTTTTGTACTTCTAGTGATTGCTAACTTTCCTCAGCAGATATTCACTCTCACCACCTCTCCAGACATAACCTAAGGATTTTTACCCACCTCGTCTCGTTCTGCTCTGCCGGCCGGCTCTCCCACTCGCTCTCACCCCCCGCCTGCCTCGCTCAATGTCTTGGGAAATATTATCTCCATTACTCGCCTTCAAGATCTGGACCCTACTTCAGCTTCCCTCCACCTCAGGCCTGACCCACTCCCTCCTCAGCATCTACGGATCTCCTCTCTAAAGTAAGACTGTTTCAATTTGCTTCAATTCCTCTCCCGTTACCAGCTCCTCATCTCCCTGATCTTTTTCTCCCGTCAGATTCTGCCCTTTAACGTCAGAGCTTCCTCGAGAGTGACTCTCCGTTCTCATCATTGTTTAATTTTTTTTTCTTACCTTCGTCTCCGGCTCTGATTCTGCATGTGGGTTAGAAAACTAAACTCCGACATGACAAAGTCATACACAGTAATTTGATAAGTAGATAAATAAGTTTTTATTGCTGGTGCTAGCACTCTTGGGTGTTTTAATGTAGGGAGCACTTACTACACTTATTACAGTTATATGTCTCCAGCATAGAGGAAGTGTTGTATTTAACATCTTGCTGTTAGCTTGCCGTTATGGTTCTGTACGACTCATTGAAGACAGTAAAACATCAAGATCGACTCATTATTCTCTTCACACGTAAGTTTCACTGTAATATTGAGTTGATGGTACTTGAAAAATTAGCTTGAAATATTTTATAGCTGACTACTTGCTTCTAATTCTGCATTAGCATTGTTAGCTCAACATTAACCTCTAACCTTCTTTGCCTAATGTTAGAGTAAAACAAAAAGATGCTGTGGCTTCTTAGGGGTGCAAGAGTTTTGGGCTGTTCTTGTTACTGGCTTTGGTTCTTTAAACAACTCTGTAGCTTTTTGCCTGCCACAGCCAAAATAAAAATGCTGGCACTGGAGCGTTAGCTCGCAGGAGACATGGCAACCCAACACTCAATGTTGGTAAAGAGTAGCTACGTCCCTCTTATTTTTAACATTCCCACTGTTTTCATGGGTGACCCTGCCAGGAAAGTTGACCATTGAGCAGGATTGATGGTTTATTCCTTGAGATCCAAGTAGCAGGGGTGAGGTGGTGCTCTGAGCATTTCTCCCATGTAAAGTAAAGAACCAGGACTGGTGCCGGCCAGTTCTGACCGAGCCTCAGCCAGCCACGGACTGGATCACAAACCAAACACTAACAATGTGTTATTTGTTAAAAAATGTGTTTATAAAACTATTTCCTACAAAATTATCACACCAATTTATGCAATATGTTTATATTTTAAAAATTGGGAAAATGCAATACAACAACAGAGCACACATTCTGATTTTGTGAGATTACTGACCTCCTCTTTGACCTCCTTCTTGACCTGTTTCAGGTTGGCCCTCAGGTCCAGATTGACTGTGTGCTTGGAGCCCAGAAGAGCTTTAAGCATGGCGTCAGCAGACATGCGCACTTTCTTCAGAACAGGCTTCTTGAACTTGCCCATCACATCCTGAACCTTGATTTTCAAGTCCTCTATCTGGAGAGTAGGAATGCAGAGAGAACAGTGACAGTAAACTATAGGGAGCCTAATTCTCCTCCCTTTCCAGTCGGCTCATGGGTCCCTGGATAAACGAAAAAATCAAGTCAATGGGGCTAAAAGATTTATTTTCTAATCCACTTTGCATTACGCCTTGGATCACACATATGTTGTACTGCAATTTAAATGAAAAGTAATGATGGGTGTAAGTCACGTACTTTGATATTTATCAGCTTGTAAAAGTTCTTAATTAGCATGACTACAAATTAGACATTCACCACGTCGCATGTATGACGTCACCACAGAATCTCGTCTCCCCTAGCATAGCTGCTACTTACCACGTGGCCAGATTTATGGTTCTTTCCTGCTGAAGGAAGGATTTTCAGTTTGCTAAACTTACAGTCATTGTCCTTTGTTTTTCTCAGTGTCTGGTTCAATGAACCATTTGTAGTCCTGGACGTATTTTCACACAAAACCTAAAATAACGTTTCCCCCCGTTCGAAAATAAGTGCGTTTTTGGTATCAAAATGCGTATTTAAAGTTCAATACCTCATATGTGAAATCCATGGCACATAACAAGCAGAATTAGACAATCGCGTTTTTAGCCCCATTGGTCCGGAAGTAGATGGGCATGACTTAGGCTCCCTATACCCGAGCACCTAATATTGGTCAGCTCAAATAAATTCGGTTTGTTTGGATTTCACCAATTCACAAACACTTCTCTCTGAGTGAACTTAAAACACCTTACATCTACCTTTAAATCCAAGTCAAAGCAAACAAATGTAGAAAATCCCAATTAAGTATTTAACTCAGTATAGTTAATTCAAAATTGATGCCATCTAATTCTTATCCTGTTCACTTCATAACAAAATGAGTGGGCCCTATCAGTTCAAACAGATATGTTTGTTGTGTTTTGAGGACGTTTTAGTAATCTTCAGAGGGGCAGTTTCAGTAGAAATACCCCTTCCAGCTTTCATTTAGAAAAATTGGTAATCCATCCACAAGTGTTGTCCCAGTCGTACACGTAACTGAAAACTATGGCAACAATGGCGGAAAAGTTAAGTGTCCGTCCCGTAACCAGAGGGTTATAGGTTTGCTCCCAGTTCAGTCTGTTGTGATTGTTGTGCCGTTGGGCAACACACGTCGTCCTCCTTTTCTGCTATTGGTAGTTGGAGAGACAGGTGGTGCGTGTGTACGGCAGCCTTGCCTTTGTCAGTGTGGCCCATAGCACCTCGGACTATGACGTGGCTCATCACTATCAGCGTGTGCGTGGGTGAATGACTGTTGTGTTGTCTTGGGGATTCCAGGGGCCTCATTTATCGACAGTACTTATGCACAGATGTGAGTATATACCGTGCGTAAGAACTTAATTTACACATTGTGTGGTATATGTCATTTTGTACCAGTGCCTGGAAATGTTCCTGAACATAAGAAAACCTCTGATCATAAGTCAGCTGGGAAGAACTGCATAAGCTTGTTAACAGAGAGCTGGGCCACAACTGTTTCCTCTTCCTCTTACATCTAAAGGCTGATGGTAGTTGGAGGTCATCTGCTTGCCTTCTAACAAAGCTCCTCTCTGACAACAGAGTTTTTCAAGAGTGATCACTTTGTGTTCACTCTTTGGAAAACCTACCTCCTTGTTGGCTTTGTTGACTTTCATTTCCAAGTCATATCTTTCCTCATCGATGACATCGCATTTATGGTGCAACTCCCTGTAGAGCTCCTACAGAAAAAAGAAAAACAACATTTGTTAGACATGATTGTAACACAGTTCACAAATGTGCAAAGGTTGAAGGTGATTGTCAGTACACAGTCAGACACACGTGGGTGATAATTGTTTCTAAGGCAGGATTTTCTATGCAGTACTCAGCATAAATGAGTACACCCCTTTTAAAATGGAATCAGTAGCTCAATGAACAAATGAACAATTTCCAGAATTTTCACAAAGCTAAGAGTATAATTGGGGTGTACTCAGTTTTGCAACATGGGCTTGAATGACTTTGTCAGGAAAATCACTTTTTTGTTTGTGCAAATGAACAAATCTTGTTTGCAATCAATGGCCCACAGTTATGGGACTATTCTGTAGTTTGGTAACTTATAGAAAATTTAGATTCTGAAAAGAAACTAAAGGTTTTCTGACAAATGTAATGGGGTGTACTCGTTTGTGCTGGGTACTGTGTAGTTATTTCCTTTTAGGACAGATACAAATACATGCGTGAGATGATGAAAGTATTGTATTTATCATAGTGTTTGTGGGAAAATGCTAATTACATTGTGTAGATGTCCTTGTTGGCCTCAGCCTAAATGGTTTCTCATTTATCCATGTGATGCTTTACAATGTCCCACTCTACTTTTACATTCTTACCTTTAGCTCAGTTAGAGAAGTGATCGTCTGCCAATTGAAAGGTTAGTGGTTCAATTATTGGCTCCCAAAGGCATGTTATAGCATCCTTGGGCAAGATGCCAAACCTCATGTAGCCCCCACAATGCGTGAGTGTGTGTGAATGGGTGAGTGTGACTCCTAGTGGTTGGTAAAACTAGACAAGTACAGCCCATTATCGCCAATGAGCCTATCAGCAGCATTGGGGAAACCAGTGCCTTGTCACAAGCATGCTGAAGTGTCCCTGGGCAAGGCACATTTTCCAAATTGAATAGAACAACCCTAGCACTTGGGACTGGGACATCTCCCCTCAATTCTAGCACTTGTCCTGACCCTCGGTTTTATTTGTGATTTCGATAAGAAAGATTGTTAAACATGGAATCATCCACTGGGAATGGATGCTAGTTTGGGACAGACCTGCATCTCCTGAAGGGATCTGGGTATGGACAGGGCAGGGCAGGCTTCAGCCATGTACCGCTCCCTTTCCTCCTCTCGGATGCTTTCTTCCTCCTCCAATAAACCTTTAGCGATGGACAGCATCAAACTCTAAAAGAAGACAGGACAACAAATATGTGAGCACGTTAAAATACAAAAGTTTTCATGAGTCTGAAGCATCTGTTTCAACTTGTTCTGGACATTTTTAAACCATCTGAGTTTTTTTTTTTAATGAAGAAGACTTTACCTTCAGATAATGTTTACGACTCGAGGACATCTTTTTGCTAAAAAAAATAAAGAAGAAAATCCGTTTGTTGTGACTAAACCGCACAAACAGCATAATCCATCTCATCAGTTGTTAGTCTGGTCGGTCTAAATTCATGTGAACAAAGAGAGACCCAGAATGACTCACTCGGACATGTTGGCTTTTGTTTGACTTCAGATCCCTAAAAGAAGAGAATACAGAAAAAAATGGGTTTATTACTAAATGTCTCATTCCCTGAGCAGCTGTATAATAATTGTTCTTTTTGAAAAGCGAATGTTCACTCTGAGCTGTGTATGCATGATGCATGTGAAAATGCTCTCCAACCCCCATTGCATTAGCAGTGGGGAGGACATAGACATGAAAATGATCAGGTCAGAACCCGCCAGTCTCTTCCACTTGACAGGGAGCGTTAGTATGGCCCTGCCCGACGTGGCTTAGGACCGCCCACGGGAAGCAGAGAACAGAGCGCGTCTCATCTAGGAAAAGCTAACTATAAATGTCTTTAGTTTATTATTTTAAGCCTATGAAGTTAACAGAGGACCGCACTTCCTGCTCAGACTGGAGGTTAAGAACATTTAGTTCGCGTTTGCCCGTGCAGGTCTCAACAAGGCTTCACACGACATGACACTCGGCTCTTGACATTACAGCCCTTGAAAAGCAGAGCAAGAAACATGTTTTAAGCAGTGGTTGACCAGTTATGTGGATATTTCATTGTAATTTGTATTATTGAGCTACCATACTTTAATTTATATTCTATTTATTTTAGGAATGAGCACCTAAGTCGATGTCTTTTTGTGTCCTGTTTAGTTTTCACCGTACACAGTTTCATTCTGAAGTGAGTCAGCTGAGGCTCACTCCATTTCTTCTTTGTTCCGGGTGACTGCTACCATAGACATGAATATAGACGCACCAATGGGCAATGGAGAGCATACTGGATGGGTTCCTCACTAGCTAAACCCAACTGGAATCTAAGCAGAGTGGGCAACCAGGCCCGTTTTTTGTGCTGCCTACGGTTGCAACAACCGGTGCACTTTTGAAAACAGACCACGAGGGATTACTATTGACTTTTCTAGCCTACCTGTTGGGAATTAGCAATTGAGCTAATTATGGCTTATTTAAATTGATGCTTCTGTTGACATGTTGGTCAATATGCATTGCCCTAATTCAATAAACACATTTTGGTTATCGTGCCATACTACATGTTTGATTTGGTTAAAAATCATATATAAAAGTGTTTTCTAGTTTCAAATGGAGACCCATCAAAGATGGCGGTCCACCGCTATAGCAGCTCCAATAGACAGCGCCAGTCCACGTCATGTCTATGTCTATATGCGCTGGCTACACAACATGGCAGAACACATTCAGGCTTGTGACATTTGTGAAAATAAAACTTCAAAGTTGGATTTTTCACCCAAGACAGAAAAGCAAACAGAGGCAGAGGAAGAGTCACAGTGCTGTTATCCAATCAGAGACAAGACCTTTGCATTTCATGATTGTTAATGAACAAGACTTGAACTCCTGTCACCCCCCCCACCCCCACCCCCCACCCCCACACACACACGCATGTACGCACGCACGTGCACATTTCCACTTAACAGAAAGACAACTCCGATCTCAGTGTCAACAACCATCCACAGGAGTAACCTCGGTTCTTTATAAAGACGAGGATCTGAGGTCCAGCTGGTCCCTCTGGGGACTCGTGTTATCAACAGGCTCTCCTCTGAAGGGTTGGGAGGAAACACCTGATACATTCTCTGGTAATACAAACATCTCAGAAATGAGAAGGACAAGTCTGAAAATAGAGGCAGGACTTCACTTGCTAACAAAACTTCAGAACAGATTTAAACATTTGGAGGCCTTGTTGAAGCATGAAGCCCTCTTATTCCTATATATCTGCGATGGAGTGGCTCTCTGTCCAGGGTGTACCCCGCCTGATTGCCCGTTGACCGCTGGAGATAGGCACCAGCCCCCCGTGTGTATATATATATATATATATATATATATATATATATATATATATATATATATATATATATATATCTGTATTTGTACAAGTGTCAGAGCCAAGTGTCATGTCGTGTGAAGCCTTGTTGAGACCTATACACGAGCAAACAGTCACTAAATGTTCTTAACCTCCAGTCTGAGCTGGAAGTGCGGTCCTCTGTTAACTTCATAGGCTTAAAATAATAAACTAAAAATAGGAATATATATGACAGACTGCACCGTCTCTATGTTTGTGTTTGTCTGACTTCTCTTACTGAAATAATTTTAGCCAAGTTTACTAAATGTTCATAAAACTAACCAAAAGCAACAAAATCACCATCTAGAACTTGCTTTTTCTGTGTTTTTCTGTAATGCATCCAAACTGCTCTGATTACATACATGGATACACCATTAGGCTCTGATAGGGACAACACTGTCAGCAGCTTTAGGAATTGACAAAATACGGCAAAAACGATGTTAGCTGGAATCACCCTGAAATGCTTTAAACTATAGTCTGAAGCTTTCCCCAATCCTGTCTGAAATAATATCTAGCAGCATTAACCCGCTTCAACAAATCAGAAATGCAGTACAAGATGTTTGATGTTTTTATTTTATCTCCTCAGTAAAACGCGTGTTTGGAAAGTTATTCTGAAGATGAAAACAATAAATTAAATTGGGTGAAAAGACAAAAACATTAACCACTTCTCAGATCATGTTTTATTATTTAAATAGTTAAATTCTCATGTGATAAGAATGTATTTAATGAATTTCAAAAGAGCCCATGGTCTGGAATTGAACTCAGTCAGCAAAGTAGTTAAGCCTTTTAACTGATGAAGGTATTTGTACCTATGTGTCTACATTCTGTACAAACCAACAAGTCTATAGTGTAATTTCAGACAAATGTATGTGCAGAAGTTAGATTGTCTCATTTAAAGAGTTAAAAGCATCACACTTAGCTGATTTCCCACATGCAGCACCAACAAACTCACCCCACAAATCCTAGATATATATTCCACCTTTAGAGCAGGTTTCTCTTCACCATAAACAAGGAACATATCTGTTGTAACCAACTCTCAGGCAGCAAAACACCTCAAATGTTTGATTAGAGCCGCATCACAATTACTATACATTTATGATTCACTCTCAAAAGTGCTAGAGGAGACATTTCTTACCTTTAGTCGAAGATGGAAAGAGCAGCAGCTAAGTTACCAGCATAATCATTTCCTATTTATTGTATTCCCTAAAGATAAAGGAAACTCCCTCTTTCCAATTATGGGAGTCATTTTTTTATAGACCAATGGGCTTCCATGCCCAGGAAATTCCATTTCTGACTGCCTTTAGTCTGACAAAATCCTTTCATGCCCCAAATACACAATCATATTTGTTATTATTGTTCTGTTTTAAAGCTTTGTTCTAACCCCAACGGCTGTGTATGAGCTTCACAGTGGCGACGAGAACAGAGGGAGAAGGACTCAGCAACATAAACTGGTTTGTAGGAGTCTCAGGCATCTCTTCACTGAGGGACCAGGGAGTAGAAGTGGTGAAAGTTGGAGACGCAGCAGGTGGAGGGCAGATGACAGTCAGAGGGGGTGTCATTTAAGAAGGACTTAATGGATGCTATTAAGAAGCTGCTAACAGGAGCTGGCGAGAGAGAAAACACATGCCCTTTTCTTCTGAGTCATTTCATAAACAAGAAAACCAAAAATCAGCTAAAAGGCATGTTGGGCAGAGGAAAAGCTGTCTGGATTGTCCTGGGCATGAATGCTGAGACTCACCCTTGTCTCAGCATTTATGTACAGGTTCTCAGGATGTAGTCGTGTTGCAGCGTCCCCAAAAAGTTTTGGGGGGGCTGCCAGAGAAGGTCAGAGAAAATTTTAGGGTGGCACACCAAAACCACCATTGTGGTGAATCTGCGGGAGTTCTGCCTGTTGCTGTACACTGTCTTGCTCCTTCATTCACTTTCATTCATTCATTATATATGTCTGTGGTGATGAATGAAAAAGATGAGGAAGAAGGCAGAAGTGTGTGTGTGTGTGTGTTAATTAGATGTAGATGGTTGGATCTGTGCCATCTTGCCCAGTTGCTCCACTTTGGTTTCATTGGCTTTTAAGAGTTTTTACTGAGGAGTTACACTCACTGGCCACTTTATTGGGTACACCTTGCTAGTAACGAGTTGGACCCACTTTTACCTTCAGAACTGTCTTAATCCTTTGTGGTAATCCTTAATCCCTGATTGTTCCATACGTTCCTAACCGAGCACTTCGGTCTCAGACTGCAGGTTTACTGGTGGTTACCAGAATATCTAAAAATAGGATGGTAGGCGGATCTTTTAGCTATCAGGCTCCTCTCCTGTGGAACCAGCTCCCAGCTTTAGTCCATGAGGCAGACACCTTGTCTGCTTTTAAGACTAGGCTTAAAACATTTTTATTTGACAGGGTCTATGGTTGAAACTGATGTTAGCCCAGATCTGGGCAAGTGGGGGAGTAGAGGGAGGTGGAGTGTACAGTCGGTAAAGACGGCTCTCCCTTGCCCTGCCTCCAAATAAAAGGCTAGGTTATCCAGTTATCTCTGTAGTTATGCTGCTATAGGCTTAGACTGCTGGAGGATACACCACTTTCTTCTATCCTTTTCTCTCTAATTGCATTATTTGCTGCTTTCTGTTAACTTTATATTCTAATTGCTTTCCTTCTCAGAAGAAGCTACACTGGTGTTCTGAGCTGTGGGGGCCGCATGGAGGGGGTAACCAGCTTGCACACTGCTGCCAACCACTTAACATTTTCCCTCTCCTGATAACATTTTACTTTGACATGGGATGTGCTACTAGTCCACCTGTTGCATTATAGATTCACTGAGATAAAGACAAAGTTAATCTTTTACTAAATAGAATATTTACTATCAGAATGTAGCCATAGAAACACAACTTGGCATTTTGTGTGTGTCTGCTCTGTCTTCTCCATCCCCAGTGAGTCGTGGTGGATGGCTGCTTATACTGAGCCAGGATCCTCTGGAGGTTTCTTCCTGTTAAAAAGGGAGTTTTCCTATCCACTGTCGCCACATGCTTGTTTAGTATGAGGATTGCAGCAAAGACTCTGACACTAGTCAGTGACTTGATGCAACCTGATGGGTTCCTTATATGGGAAACTTTGTACTGATCGTCTTTATTGGAATGTTTACTTTCTCATCTCAGAATTATTTGTATTGAGTAACTTATTTGTGTGCATTGGTTCTGGTCTGATGTTAACACAGATTGATGACAGAATAAAAAATAGTAAAAGAAACGTTTTAGCAGGTTTTTCCTTCCTCATGGAACCAGATAAAACCAGCTTCAGTAGCAATAAGAACGTGCACGCACACACACACATCCTTTATTGTTGTATTAAATTTCAGAAAATAAAAATCCTTGGAGTGTGTTGACAGCTCTGTACAACTTACTTACAACTTATTTGTTTTGGATAAAACCAACAAGTGGTCACATTGTCATGATTCAAAACATCACGCAGTGCAAAGACCATTCATGTGCAAACTGGAGTATAGAGATGAAAAGATATCAAAGAGGAAAACGACGACTCCCGTTGCAGAGTAAAACAATCATGTTGCATCATTAAACAATTGACTCTGCAGTTAGAACTACTTTGGGTAGGAACGCCAACGCTGACATAACGTCAACATTTCCAGGCTCAGCACATATTTCAGTGAATTCTGAGAGAGTGCAGCTAGGACTTTAATCAGCGCCCAGACGAGCTAGCACTGGAGTTTCAGGTTGTTGTCCAGTTTAATAGCAGTCAGACTCTGGCACCTTGTAGCAGTAATAATAATGGCATGACCCAACTACTGTCATAAACATCATTGTTCTGGGAAGAGATGAAACTGTCATGTTCCTCCGGCTGGGGGTGTAATGGTATACATGGCCCAAGGTCCAGGTCTGCCTCCATTTGAGATTTAACTCTCCTAGTCCCAAAACCAACCCTACTCAAGTCTGAACTGTAAACGTGTCATAATGGACTCCAGACGCTCACCTCTCAGTAAACTAGGAACAAAATGAAAAATGCTTTAACTTGGTGCAAACCACAAATGAATGTTTTCTAAAGTGAAAATTTGAAATAAAAACATTTCACTAGGCGAGCGCCTGTGTGTGAAGACTCTTCTTCCTGGAGCTAGCTGCTGACTCACCTTTTCACTCAGGTAACATCTGACTAGGCACTCGCCTGTGCATGCGTCATGATACCAGAGACACCTGCACTGTGACACCGGGGTACATGTGCATGTACCATTACCCCCCCCTTCTGTAGTCCTGATGTACACATGCAGCGGGGGAAGGGAGGCAGCATATCTGACCATCATAAAAAGCAAAAATGGAACAATTGTTTTAAGTGCATCTGACATTTCTGTGTTGGGTTTTTTGCCTGAGAGGTAATTCCACTTAAATCAGTATTGCATCAACTCCACCCCCCCACCCCCCGATCGTAGCCTATTGTTCTGTGGAAAGATGCATCTGGTTCTCAGCTCACATTATAGTCCAGGTGTGGATTCTACTCACTAATGTGCCTACGGGCTCAGAGAACCCTGGTCTTGTGGAGCTCCCACGCTGTGTGACATCAGAAAACTCCTGAGATCATCCATGAAGAATTTCACCTGATCAATAAAAACAACACAAAGACTTCACACACCCACCACAGTACTACTGCTGTATAGAGAAGCTGTACACACTGCAGGTCAGACCGCTGCAGCGCCTAACTGCTGAGGTTATGGGGTGGGGGTGACAACTAAACCACTTTTGTACACCCGGAAAACAAATACAACAAATTCTCACAACCACTCAACTGAAATGGGGATCAATAATATCCAGGAACATCTGGGAAAAGTACAGCTGCCCTTGGTTGGCTTCTGGGAAAATGGATCAACGGGGGGGGTCAGATCCAGGCCATTTTACGTGAGATGGCCTGTTTGAAGCACTCGGGGTCCACGTTGGAGCCGGGCCGCAGAGTCTTCTCCAGGGTCACCAGCACGTTCTGGTGGCACTCTTTGATGTTGACCGGGTACTTGGCTCTCAGCAGCTCATAGGCAGCGATCAGCTTCATGTTCTGCTTCACCATCAGGTACTGGATGATGCACGTGGGCGCCAGAGAGAAACCGTCCCGACAGTGAACGAGGACGCGCTTCCTCTTCTCCGTGGAGGCATTAATGCACTCGTTGATGTCCTCAAAGCAGCAATCCTTGAGTGCTGAGCCATCACCCTGGGACTCCGGCACATCAGCAATATCCACTTTAAGGCGGGACCAGCTGTGCCGAACCCCTCTGGAGCAGGTGCAGGGTATGAGGCTCAGGGAGGGTCCCGGTTCTCCCGGCACGCTGCTCATGTCAATGATGCTGTCGATGTTGTTGCGGCACAGCGCACGCCCGTTGTACGCCGCGTTCAGATTGCCCACATAGATGTAATCCGTCACTTTAGAGATGACGGGTTCAGAGTACTGGAAGTGTTCAGGGCCGCTGGGTTTAGGATCTGGGGCATCAGGGGCCCTGGCTCCGGCCGGCCCAGTGGCAGCTCTTCTACTGTAGTTCCTCAGCTTCTTGGAGCCGGAGCGGGACGGAGTGGTCGATTCAGACTCAAAGCTGCTGTTCCAGGATGGAGAGAAGAGCGAGAAGCGGCTGGAGGTTTTACTCTTGTTGAGGATCTCCACCGGACTGGGCAGGCTGGAGCTGCAGTTACTCGTGGAAGCCGAGGCGCAGAACAGGGAGGCTCGCTCCAGAGACCCTGTGCTGCTGGCGGCTCCTGCACTGTGGGCCTGCTCCATCTGCACACACACACACACACACACACACACACACACACACACACACACACACACACACACACACACACACACACACACACACACACACACACACACACACACACACACACACAGGTTTTAGTGTTTCTATGTGCAGTGTGTTTATGCTAACTGAGCCGATGCTAAGCCTGGACAAGCATCAATCTAGTTAAAAAAAAAAGAACTGATATTTAGACAGTAAAGGAATCAATCTGTGTTGCAGGCTCCAAAAAGCTGCACAGTAACCCAGCAAGTCAGGCATGGGCCCAGATTGTGGTCCCATCAAACAGAACCAGAGCCTTTAGCAGCCTGGGTTCAGCTCCTCCTCCAGCTGGTGATGCTGGGACGAGATGAAGAAAACTCAGGCCAAGACTGAAGCTCTGCGCTGATGCGTTTAGTGCTGCTGAGGTGAAACAGTAACATGTGAGAGTCACAGAGCAGAGTGCTGCTGCTAGTCGAGGCCTCGGTTTTTAACTGGTACCTGGAGCTGGAGGGCATGTTGCCATCTTCACCACGCTGGGAGAGTTTAAATCCCAACCAGACTTTTGCTTTTCAGGTAACTGATGAAAACCATCTGCAAACTTTACACCAGATGAGATTATTTGGGGATTAAAACCTGTGTGATGTGTGTGAAACAGCTTCAGTCATCTAGACCAGGGGGATTCAATTACAGTCCGGAACGTCCGGCATGCAGCACATTTTCAGTGTTTTCTCTGATTCAACACACTTGACTCACCTGTGCAGCAGCTCATCAGACTCTGCAGAAACCTGCTGATTAAAGATAAAACTAAAACGTGGATACTGGATCTCTAGGCCCGGAATTGAATACCACTGATCTAAACAATAATAGTTGTTAATGTACCTGAGCCTTGAGATTGTTTTTCCACTCCTGCGTCTCCAGAGCCTTGAATCGGCCGCTGCTGTCAGATGAAACCGACACACACAGGGGCCGGTGGACTCTGGGAGGCAGCTGGGGCGTGAGGGCCACGGGGACCGGCCTCGCTTTAGGATTCTCAGTCCTACTCATGGTTAGATCTGGACAGGAACCTGAAAAAACACAAAGACAACCGTCTGTATGTGTGTGTATGTATGAGTGTGTGTGTGTGTGTGTGTGTATGTATGAGTGTGTGTGTGTGTATGAGTGTGTGTGTGTGTGTGTGTGTGTGTGTGTGTGTGTGTAAGTGTGTGTGTGTGTAAGTGTGTGTGTGTGTAAGTGTGTGTGTGTGTGTGTGTGTGTATGTATGAGTGTGTGTGTGTGTGTGTGTGTGTGTGTGTGTGTGTGTGTGTGTGTGTGTGTGTGTGTGTGTGTGTGTGTGTGTGTGTGTGTGTGTGTGTGTGTGTGTGTGTGTGTGTGTGTGTGTGTGTGTGTCCTACCAGCACATTCTAATCTGGTGATGGACTGAAGCAGCAGTGGTTGGGGAAGGTCAGGACGCGTTAAAGCTGCGGATGAGAGGTTCCTTCTCTCAGCCAGACTGATGCTCCTCAGACGTCAGCTTGAATCAGACATGGCTCTCTTCCCGATGCGTCCATCATGTTCAACAAACACTTTTCCACTCAGAAGTTCGGTCCTCTCGGTGTCCATGATCCGCCTCCAGCTCGGAGCGGCCCGTCATCTTCGGCAGGCCGAACAACCCTTCACTTCCATTGGACAAACATCTCTTCACCTGCTGGGGAGGCGAGCTCAGGCTGCTAGAAGCTGGGCGCTAGAGCTGAACTCCTGAATAACCGGGTCATGACAGCTGAGCTGGAACGTGTGTGGGTTAAAGCCCAAGCATGCACACATTACCCCGGACTGGCCTGGGAGTGGATGAGCCCCAGTGCCATTGACGGAACAGCTGGACGGATGCTGGAGCCCGAACGAGCTAACTGCTGCTAGCTAGCAACATACCCGCTGTGTTAATCCACATCACGGCGGATGCAATCCGCTGCGCCAAAGTCATCAGTTACAGCGGCGTTTGGGGTTTGTCCGCAGCCACACAGGCAAGAATAACACCCGTGTCTAGCTCAACAACGCGAACCCGAACAAGCAGGTCCAGTTTACAGCTTCACGACCTCCGTAACGTTCCACATGGCGCATGCGCAGTGCTCACGCCCCTTTCTTCATGGAAACAACGTCTCCTAGAGGCGGACTCCTGAAGTCACACTTTTGTTGTTGCTCCATGCAGGTGAAACTCGGTGAAACAGGAAAATCAATTCGTGGAGGTCACTAATCCGGCTTAAAAGGTGAAACTAACCTATGAGACAGACTCAATCATAGGCGTCATTTTAACCGGGGACGCCGGGGACATGTCCCCGGCAAAATTTGTGATTGGCAGCTGTGTCCCCCCCACTTTCAAAAACGCCTGCTGATGAGGATTTTTGTTTTACCAGCTCAGATCTTATCCAGGGGTCGGCAATCTGTTCCCATCAAAGAACCATTATTACCCGTTTCCCACGGTAATTTTGGACGGACCTTAAGAAGCAGGCAGGTCGCGCTAGAAAATTTCGTTTAAAAAGACATCATAAATGTTTTCCCCCGTCCTTTTTATTTATAAAATATGAAGTTAAAACTCACAATTTAATTTTCATTCATTTGTCATTAATATGTAGTCTACACCCGTGCGTTAAGTGGACCATCTTCCAGTAAACGCACAGCATCCAGTCCACCTCTCCAAATGCGTAAAATGTGCATCAGCCGCTAGTTAGGCGCGCGCGCACCATCAGCTGATCAGCCCAGACAAGAGCAGAGCGACTAGAGAAAGACTAGAGGATAATTGTGTCTGGATGTGGATGGAGATTACATTTTACAGCAGCCTGATCATCATTTAAATACGTAAACCATCACCTGTCTTCTAGTCCACGCTATCAGCATTATTTAATATTTTAATTGGTGTGTGTGTGTGTGTGTGTGTGTGTGTGTGTGTGTGTGTGTGTGTGTGTGTGTGTGTGTGTGTGTGTGTGTGTGTGTGTGTGTGTGTGTGTGTGTGAGTGAGTGAGTGAGTGAGTGAGTGAGTGAGTGAGTGAGTGAGTGAGTGTGTGTGTGTGTGTGTTTTCCACTTCAAACACTGGTCTAACCAACCAGACCAGCGTGTCCAGTAACACATTAATGTTACAATTAAACAGTTTCACTTCATGTAGGCTAGGAACGTTTCATCTGCCGTGGCCCGACCGCTTCTGTTCCACATAAACTTTGTGCGTGATCAAATGTCTCTACGCTTCATGCGGAAGACGGGAACAAGCGCTGTTCAGCCAAAGTTTCATAATTTCATAAAAAGAACATTTTCCAAGTGACACATCCCTCAGAGAGACCGGGTTTCCAGAACGCTTCAGTGGGAGGAAATCATCGCATGCGCGTGGTTCTGCACTGCGCTGCACTGCGAACCCCAGATCTTCATCTCACTGTCCACCGGGGGCGCTCCGAGCCGCGCTGAACACAGTGTCCAGTATAAAGAGCTCTGATGTTCTGATGGGAATATTTTACCTCCGCGTGTGCGTTAACGATTAAAATGTCAGCTCATCCATGTGCATAAGTGTGCGTGGGGGTAATTCTTTCAAACCAAGCAACATCCTTGAGTTCATCTGTCAAAATAAACAGTCAAATGGAAATATATGTAACCTGCCGTTTAACTGTTTTGCCTTCTTGTGAAGATTGTTGCAAAGAGAAACAATTAAACTTGATTAACCCCAGAGCCACGCAGAGAACCATGCAGTGCGCATGCGGGAAGATTCCTCCCACTAAAGCGAGTGTTTTCCAAACCCTGTCTCTCAGAGAGACTTGTCACTTAGAAAATGTTCCCTGATGATGAAACTTTGGCTGAATAGCGCTTGTTCCTGGCTCCAATGTGGCGACAAATCCAGGAGCCGTCTGAGGAGAAGCCCAGAATCTCACATCCTCTTCAGCTCATAAAGTGCCTATATGATTACGCACAAGCGTGACCGGTCAACCACCGCAGACCGGGTTGGACCTGTTCAGGTTTACGCAGACAATCTTTACATTTAGAATTGGCATACAGGTGTAAAATTAATGCAGTAAAATATAAAGCATTTTATTTAAATATCCATTTATTATTTTACAAGCACAGAGAGTTGCATCAGATGGATGGAAGAGCCGCATGCGGCTCCAGAGCCGCGGATTGCCGACCCCTGTGCTAGCCTACTTTATTGTCCCCAGCAATTTTTAAACCCCACTCAAGTGTATGGTTATTGTCCCCAGCAATTCTGAAAACAAACTGACGCCCTTGGACTCAATCCAGGCAAATCCAGCTGTTTCAGCTTTTATTTGTTAGAATTGTGATGAGTGTGGCTTATAGCTGATGAAAACCTCACATTCAGAATCAGAATCTCAGACAATTTGAATAATTGGATAAGGTTCAATATTCTAGACTCAAAACTCAGAAACAACAGCCATCTCCATAATTCCCTAAGATCATTCAAATATCTTAAAAGTTCTTTAAGGTGCTGTCAGTGAACCTAGCTGCTTCAGCCACAAGCTACTTTACATAAAAACTTCATACACTTAGGACAGCATATATTTTAAAGGTGCCGTATGTAATATTGTAGTGAGAATTTTACAGTGAGAAAATCCCAGAAGAGTCTAATGTTTCATTGCATTTGGAAGGAAGGTTATACTGAAATGTTTCATATCTGGCTGTCTGGATTGTCCGTTTTTCTCCTTTCAAAACAAAGGGGGGAGGGACGTAACTACTGTTTACCATCAGTGAGTGTGGGGGCGTCGTGTCCCCTGCAAGCTAATGCTGTAGCGCCGACAACTGTAATTTGACGACAGCCCCAGGGTTGTTTAAAGTGGTTGCAGTAGCCACATTTTAGCAAAGGATGCCATTTTTACTTCTACATTCTACATAATGCACCTTTAAAAACAATAACAAAAAAGAGCAAAGATGGACAATAAACACACTTTCTTCAACCAACCCTGCAGTTTTGCTCTGATTCCTCAGTCAGGTCTACAAATGGTCAAATTTGGCTTTTAACCATTTTAAGTTCTGCTTTTTTGTAAGCAGACAAGGTGGAAGTCTGCATTTAGTCCTTCTGCTGAGCTGAAATACAAACATTCTTCTACCACTTTATCTGAATCTGGTAGGAAATAACATGAAAAAAAATGTTTTTGAACTTTTTATTTTATCTACCAAAATAACAAAATGTTCCTTCACCTCGGCGCTGATTTGTTTTCTCACCATTCAGCCTATACATCAAAGATCTTGTTCTTGGATCAAACCTTTAAATTTGCAGGTGACTGCTGAGCCACAGCTTTCATGTTTACAGTCAGGTCCATCAACACAATGCTATCATTATTGGCTCTATACACCACTACAATGGATATCAAATGAAACAAACAAGATGTGCTTTAACTGAAGACCGTCAGCTTTTATTTGAGGGTATTTACATCCGAATCAGGTGAACGGTGTAGGAATTACAACAGTTTGCATATGTGCCTCCCACTTGTTAAGGGACCAAAAGTAATGGGACAGTTGGCTTCTCAGCTGTTCCATGGCCAGGTGTGTGTGATTCCCTTATTATCCCAATTACAATGAGCAGAGAAAAGGTCCAGAGTTCATTTCAAGTGTGCTATTTGCATTTGGTATCTGCTGCTGTCAACTGTTAAGATGAGATCCAAAGAGCTGTCACTGTCAGTGAAGCAAGCCATCATTAGGCTGAAAAAACAAAAGAAACCCATCAGAGAGATAGCAAAAGCATTAGGCGTGGCCATAACAACAGTTTGGAACATTCTCAAAAAGAAGGAACGCACCGGTGAGCTCAGCATCACCAAAAGACCTGGAAGACCACAGAAAACAACTGTGGTTGATGACCGAAGAATCCTTTCCCTTGTGAAGAAAACGCCCTTCACAACAGTTGGCTAGATCAAGAACACTCTCCAGGAGGTAGGTGTATCTGTGTCAAAGTCAACAATCAAGAGAAGACTCCACCAGAGGGTTCACCACAAGATGTAAACCATTGGTGAGCCCCAAAAACAGGAAGGCCAGATTAGAGTTTGCCAAACAACATCTAAAAAAGCCTTCACAGTTCTGGAACAACATCCTATGGACAGATGAGACCAAGACCAACTTGTACCAGAGTGATGGAAAGAGAAGAGTATGGAGACGGAAAGGAACTGCTCATGATCCTAACCATACCACCTCATCAGTGAAGCATGGTGCTGGAAGTGTCATGACGTGGGCATGTATGGCTGCCAGTGGAACTGGTTCTCCTGTATTTATTGACGATGTGACTGCTGACAAAAGCAGCACGATGGATTCTGAAGTGTTTCGGGCAATATTATCTGCTCATATTCAGCCAAATGCCTCAGAACTCACTGGACGGTGCTTCACAGTGCAGATGGACAATGACCCAAAGCATACTGCAAAAGCAACCAAAGAGTTTTTGAAGGGAAAGAAGTGGACTGTGTTGCGATGGTCAAGTCAATCACCTGACCTGAATCTGACTGAGCATGCATTTCACTTGCTGAAGACTAAACTGAAGGGAAAATGCCCCAGGAACAAGCAGGAACTGAAGACTGTTGCAGTAGAGGCCTGGCAGAGCATCACCAGGGATGAAACCCAACGTCTGGTGATGTCATGTGTTCCAGACTTCAGGCTGTAATTGACTGCAAAGGATTT